CTGGCGTCTCTCATGTACAAAATGAGAATATACTATTATTATTATAGTGCCAAACCCGAACTAGTAGTGAGAGACAGCAGTGGTGGTAATCTTGCAGTTAGACAACTATCTGAAAGCCGAATAACAACAGCTTCTGATCCACCGCTAAGTTCGTCAACCTGTGTCACTCAGTCGTCGTTGGTGTTATCATCCACAATGAGAAGGACGCCCATCAACTCAAGTATCTTGTGCAATGACAATGCTAGTATCAGTTCGTTTGAAAGGACGAATATCAATGGTCAGTTTAGTGAGGATAAGCCAAGTGTAAACGAGAGAGTAATTGTTAAATTGACTTGCACGAATAAAGGCATTTCTAGTTTCAAGTTACTATTTGAATGTTATTATCTTTGGTGTAAATTACTCTGTCTCTACACTTGGTTGATGAGATGTGTCGTGTGTTTGTTGGTCATCTATATTCTACGATACAATGACATGGGCGTGTTGCCGTTCAGATTTGAGGATATAGCTGATAGAAGGAAGTCAGCAAATGAACTCTGCGACGATTTTCCAACCTAGGGCGTCAACCTGAGAGGGGTTGTAGGCGTACTGCTGTAAGTCCTACAATTCTTCAATGGGTAGCGCATCAATGAGCCGTCCAATGTGCTTGTTGTGTGATTTTGTACGTATGTCCATTTTGTAAAAACTGAATTGATATCATCTGTCATCTAGCTGTTGGTAATTCTGTTTGTGTCCGGAAGACTTCCACTTGGATCATCAACCTGAGAAGGAATGTAGGCGTACTCCTGTAAGTCGTTTAGTTCTTCAAGGGTAGTTTGTCATGCCGGAATCCACAACATTTGATGTAGTGATTGTACATATGTTTGTGTTAAATAGTTGTGTGAGTTCCAATTATTGTAATTGTTGGTTAATCTTGGTTGTGTCCGGACATTCCACAACTTACAATCGTCAACCTGTGAAGGCTTGTAGGCGTACTACTGTAAGTCCTGCAATTCTTCAAAGGAATTCCATCGAGACACGATCTGCGATTTCGTGTATACTGTTTGTATATATGTGTGGTGTGTCATATCAATTGGTGTTTTTGGATTCACTGTTTTTACTCGTTGTTTTCGTACCTTGTTGTTATTACATAATTTTGTTGAAATTTTCGTCGTGATTACTTCTGAAGTTGTTTCTAGTCTTCTACATCCGTGAATGAATTGATTGATGCCAAGAACAGCAGATGGGTCGTATACGCCGGGGAGTCCAGGCTATCGCTGAGAATGAAATGCATACGGAGATAATTGTTAGCTGTGGTCCCACACGCCGGGGAGCGGAAGCGTAGACAACTGAGGCCCGCATACGTCACCGTTACTAGAATTGAAGCAGAATGAGTGACAAGCGATTTCAGTGGTAATTGGTAGTGAGTAGATAAGAGGATGTGCGTAGAGTATCATGAGGTGCTGCCATGGTCGCGTTGCATTCTGCAAGAGTCATTCTAGCAGGTGGTGATTATGTTGCAAGAGGATGCTTTTAACTGGAAGGCGCAGGTCGTCATTGATGTGTGAGATTGTGCTGTGAGTATGCTTGTGGTGTGTTGGCTTTTCTGTTTGTTTTCCATTTCAGCTCTGTCCTTGTGACCCTTTTTCTCGCAATGGCATCCAAGTCAACGTGTATTGGTCGTGAAGAAAAAAGGGATGGATCCCTGTTTTGCCGGGGAGTGTCAATGTAGTTGAAGATTGAACGATCAATTCTTGGTTGTTTGCTCAAAATCAACTTCCCCAATTTTCGCGGAGGCATCAATACACCAGTCATCGTCTCATCAGTCGCTGTTCAGAAAGAAGTCAGCAGTAAACCGTCAGAAGTAATCTTGTGATTTATTATTGTAATATTTGTTCACAGACCTGAGTAGAAATATTTTATATATGCTGGTGTTACAATAAAGAATTCTCGAGTGGCCAATCGGTGCTTTGGTTTTTGCGTCCGTTATTACTAAGCGTTTCTGAAAAACTTCAAGGAACAGCGTGAGCCCGTGCGTAGCAAGAGCTGGGCATTAATGGTTTACGAGACGTGGCTGACACATCATCTATCTGGTCGACTTCATCATTTTGAAACTCTTTAATAATATCATTGTATGATTTGAGTTCTTCTTCACAAATCCCTAAAGATTTTATACCTTCACTCTGACTAGTATTATTATTATTATTATTGTATCCTTTAGTTCCTAGAGGAACATAGGGCTTCAGCTGCGCACCTCCATTGACTTCGGTTTTTTGACAACTTTTTCACCCTGCTCCAGGTCTGCCCACATGCTTTCATCTCCTCTTCACATGACCTCCTCCAAGTCACCCTTGGACGACCAACTCGCCGCCTCCCTTTCGGGTTCCACTCGAGGGCTTGTCTAGTGATGTCACTTGTTGGTTTCCTCAGCGTATGGCCAATCCATCTCCATTTCTTTCTGCCTATTTGTTTAACAATCGGTTCCTGATTGGTTCGCTCCCAGAGATCCCTGTTGCTGATCTTTTCTGGCCATCTGATCTTGAGTATTGAGCGAAGACAGCTGTTAATGAAGGTCTGAAGTTTGTTTGAGATGCTCTTTATGACTCGCCAAGTCTCTGATCCGTATAGTAGCACTGACTTCACATTGGAGTTGAAAATCCGGATCTTATTTTTGATGCTGAATGCTGTTGACCTGTTGACTAGTAATACCTTTTAATCTTATGGGGTCAGAACTGGACTTTGAATCTTTAACTCTCTTCTGTGGGATACTGTTCAACAATGGCTTACTAATTGCAACTACAGCCTTCTTCGCCGCGCTATTATCGTCACACAATTCGGAGTCAGATCTTGATTTCACAGAGATCAGCAACAAGCCCCAGGAGTTCTTTTGTTTCTGCCCCCCAAACGCATTCACTTCGATTTATTGTCATGCTGTTTTTTCTAGTGTGCGTACCACTGCTCAAGTGTAATCTTCATGCGTACTTATATCCGGCTGGCGATGAATGTACATATATAAACCTTGGCAAACGCAATTCACGAGGGAAGTCGTCCATTAATGTTCGTAGAGTTTGTGCAGTATTCCAAAGAGCAAATGGCATCCTCTCTAACTCATATAAACCAAATGAGGTTGGAATAGCTGTTTTTAAATACATCTTCCTCAGCCACTGGAACGTCCTCCTAAGGGAGAAGTAAGGTAGTTCCAGTGAATTTTGTGGCACCTCGAAGACCATCGTTAAAGTCTTTAAGGTATGGTAATGGGTATTTGTATGGGACGACTTACTTAGTTAAGTCAGTGTAACCACCACGACAGCGCCAATCGGTCTGGTTTTCTTTAAGCTAGATGTGTAACGGTGAAGCTGTTTACTACGCTAGGGTTTAAAATCCCCAGCTGAGGCAGTTTTTGTTTATCCTGGGCAGGTATTCTCGACCTGGTGAACACTAGGGGCCCATGCATTCTTTTATTATGTGTATTTTTCTATCCAGTCTCAGAAGTCTGGAGGCTGGTTGCCATCAGATTCAAGAATTCTGCTGGTATTTTCCGGAATATTGCTGTTGATGATCGCAGAGTTCGTACTAGAATCAACGATTGGTCCTCCATCGCTTTGCCGGTCGTGCACCAGGAGGTTCACTTCATTGTTAAACGTCTCTTTTGGGTAAATACTAGTAAGTCATATCTTTCCAGGAAGTCGATGCCAATGATTACTAGACCTAAATCTGCAACAGTCAACACCCATGGAACCTGTCGTATAAATTCGAGGTTCGGGGGTTAGTGTATTCTGCCGAAACTGCGCAATCTGGGTTTCATTGGCGATATGTGGTGTGACAGGGGATTCTTTTCATCGCAGCTTGGCTCTTGCTTGCAATATGATACTGAGTGTAGCTCCCAAGCCAACAAAGAGGTCTATGCCAGAATTTTTATCCTTGACGTAGAATAGGCGGCTGTCATGCGTCCCTTATTGGATGCCATTGCCTGAGATAGGGCTAATCGCTTTCATGTTGCTTGTGAAGTAGTTTAGGCGAGGATCATGGTTGTATGCATTTTACTGACTGTGAGGCAAGCCTAGAAATAAACCAACAGACCCCTTGATCTATTCTGTTCGGATGTGAAGAGAAAGGTACCTACAAGTTGGAAGACGGCTGCGTCGTCAAACTACCGTCAGGACTTGGCAGAGTCGACCACATAGTAATCTGGAAGCTACTTCAATGAAACGGAGTGTTGCGTTGAACACATAAACGATTACCATTCAACAGCTAATTGTTGGTGCCACTAGCTGAGTAGTCCACTATAGGACTCTCTGTGAAGTCCTTGAACTAAAGACAAGAGTAGGGCGAAACCGCCTAATATTACTGATGATAAGCCTGAATGTAATGGATTGCTTCATGATACAGGCTGTAGGCAGCAAGGATGCGTGCTACTATGGCCCAAAACAAGAATCTAGTGGCTCCAACATACTTAGGGTTTTTGGTGAGGGGGCAGACTTAGACAGTTAACCACTGGAAAATTCTTGCCTTCAGTCTATAGGTGGATTTATGAGAACACCTCCCAAATTACTTCACACGAAATTTTATGTATTAATTGGTGAAGAGCAAAGGAAGCACAATTGTAAGAATTAATTGTTTACTCGTGTAAAGGAATAACTGGATAAAACAGTAGAGGATTGACATTAAAATGGTCATGAAGACAATAAGCGAGGGGAAACTTTTGTGGAGCCACCTGCATGTAAAGTCTGAATATATATTGGGTGATAACCTAATTTCTTCTACATGTATTCAGTTTGCCCCATAGGGTTTTTAAGGCAGTGGTTCCTTCCACGCATTATCTCGGCTGACTTGACTGGGAATATGTCAATAAATAGATAGAGGTTCAGTTCCTGTAAAAGGAAAAGTTCTGTGAATGCTTCAAATGTAGGGAAATTTCTCCGGATATATTTAGATAATCTATAGAGCACCTCCTATGTAAGCAGACATGATGATGTCTAGGTCAAGGCCGGATACATTGTACATCTTACCATCGTTTCAGGGTCACTTTCAAGGTTGTTTCTCGCCTTAACAAGTAAGTTGATGTCACTCGTTGGTGCTTGAGTTTTGTTTTTCCGGCGTGTCTGATAACCTGTTTCGTATTGCATTTTGGATTAATTTGAAAAGCGATCATTGATTTAAAATACAGGGGACATGCTCCTTTTTTTGTCAATTTCCTAATATAAGCCTTACCTCACTTGCGATCAACACGCCTAGTTAAAATGTTTGTATAATTTGAGGGTAATTTCCACCGAACTTTTACATTGATTTTCTTCAGAATCATCTCACAAAACCCTAAGTAATACCGGGTGTTTTATTTGAGTAACTGTGTTTTAAAACTTATAAAAGTTTATGCATATGGGACAATTGTTCTCATAGGTCAATCCCTTTTTTAATACGATATGCATAAAATATCTGTCAAAAGACTTCGATCGTAAATACTTAAAAAACTTTAGTTTCTCTTATGAATTTAGACAAAATAATAATAAGATGTAATTTGTTTGGATCGTTTCATGTATTCGTGCTGCTTATTCCGGACAATCTGATCACACACGGACTTATGAGAAAATTTTTCTCACCGCTTAACTTCTTATTAATTTCATATATATATTCCTATGAAAAATTCGTGTGTGATCAAATTGTAAATACATTTTGTAATTTTCAGAGTGTCTACTTGTGTATAGACGTTCATTTCGAAACACGTACTTCCGACGCATCTGACTGGTCGCCAGAAGGTAGTTTCGCTTTGGGCTGCTTTAGTTTTGAGTCACCGGAACATAACACAAAGTGCTTATATTTTTGTTCTGTGTTGCTTGACACTTGGTGATAAACATCGTCAACGTTCTCAGCTTTTCTATATTTTAATCCTCATTGTTCTAACCAGTCACAAAGGCAGATATATTTCAAAGAGCAGTGCTCATATATATGTGGGCTAACGGTCAGTCACCACGTAGATAGCAGTATTTTGATGTGCATATAGACAACTTTGTGTAGACAACTCACGAAAACGTTTTTGGCTCACCTTGGGGAATGACATTTAGGCTAAGTTAAACTATAGCAACAGTCGTGGTGTATGACCTTCGATATAATTACATTTACGTGTTTGCCGGAAGTTTTCAGTGCAGTGCTCTTGAATTTTGCTCCCAATTATGTCATATTGTCTAAAGAATGTCCGAAGTTTATTTTAGGCTTTGTTTCAAGTTGTCAGAATGTCCCAAAGCCCTTTCTTGCTGGACAGATATAGACTATTAATATAGTTAGCTCACTTGCAAGATCTGGGTCTTTTAGTGACAGGATTTCTTTTATAATTCCCTGCACAATGCCCTGTGTACGTTTCTAGTACAAAAAGGATCGTAAAAATTATTGGGTTGGTTGGTTTCACTAGTTATAGTGCATTTAGTCATCAACAACGTGGTACAGGAAAATGAACATGCGGTATCCAAATGATTTTGTACATCTAGATAGTAACTGCTAGACTGAAATTGCTGTCTTGTAATGAAATGGAGTGCTACTTAACAACTAAATGCACCCTGACTGACTGATTTCAACGTAGAACCTTGCACATATGTGCTGCAATTCGAGTTGCTACACTTCTTCAATGTAGTACACAAAGCAAGAGAAGACAGTAAAACGGCATTCATCAAAAGAGAGATAATAAACAGAAGTGTAAGGGAAAAAGAATAGTAATATGTAAGAACCGTATAGTTTTGTTGGATATTGTAAGTCACAAGGAGTGGACGCATCCGCGCCGTCACTCACTGAGAACAATTTTGAGCCATATCAGCAATTGTTTCCAGCCTTCATTTGTTTTTACCGTTCTGAGGACCCCAACCAGCCGACCAGGAAGTCTACACCTCGCTACATGACCGACTGTCTGTCTGGCTTAAACTAATTGTTGTGAATTTCATTGACTGACCACCACTACCCCTTTTCCAACCTGATTGATCCTGTGTCAGCTAAGATGTCCCGTTATCGAGGAAGGCGATGGATGGCTGGGCATGCATATGTAACACATGTCCTAACCATCTGAATCGATGTAATTTCCCAGTGTCGTCGATAGACCAACTTCCCCTCCCTACCTTAGCACTCGACGCCTAACTTCAGTGTTGCTCACCCTATTATACAACTTAACACGGGAGATCAAACGCAGGCACCTATGATTAAAGATAGCTAGCTATACCAGCTTTTCATGTCTTCCACTTTCATTGGCCAGGTCTGTCTGTCTGTCTGGATTCAACATAGAACTTGGCACCGAAGTGTAGCAGTTCGAGTTGCCACCTTCCAAATAGCACACAGAAGTAGACAAGAAGATGAGTGAAGAGAATCAATACAGTCTGACAAGTATAAGAGTGAAACAGAATGGATAGTGGTAGAAAGGAATATGAAAGATTACAGAGACTGAATACATCTGCGCTGGTCATTGACAACGATTTTGAGCCATGTCACCTATTGTCTCCAGCCATTGATTCCTAGAGTCAGTCCCGAGGGCCCCAACCCGGAAGTCTGCATCTCCCTCCCTACCTGACTCAGTTTAACTGTCAAGGATTTCATGGATTGATGAGGCCATGTTTTTGTTGGGCCACCACTTACTCTTTTCCAACCTGCACTTATCTATATCAGCTAGTAATGCCCGTCGGAGGAGGCGATGGTCAGCCATGCGCAGAACGTAACCTAGTCATCTCAATCTATGTAACTTTATAGCCTCGTCGGTTGATTTTCCCTCTTTGCCCAACACTCTACGCCCAACGTTAACATTACTTACCTTATTAAACCAGCTAACGTGAGAAAGAGATCGTAGACATCTATGATCAAAAACAGTCAACCTTTTCATGTCTTCAACGCGTATTGGCCATGTTTCAGAGCCATAGAGAAGGACGGAGCGAACTGCTGAGCAGTACACACGTCCCTTGGTTGATAGCCGAATGTCACGCCTACGCCAGAGATGGTGTAAGTCAGCGAAAGCAGCTCGAGCTTTTTGGATCCTTGCTGAGATTTCTTCGCCAATCAGTCCGTTGGTGCTAATACAACTTCCCAAATAGGTGAAGTGGTCAACATGTTCTATCACTTCACTCCCTATCACTAAGCTAGGAGTTGACGTAGTCCAGTCCTCTAGCAGCATCTTACATTTTGCAGGGGCGAATCGCATGCCAAACATACGAAGATTGCTGCTCAAGGTGTTCAGAAGACTCTGCATTTTGTCAGCATCCTCCCCTAACAGGACTATGTCATCTGCATATTCTAAGTCCATTAGATTATTCCCTGGTAACAAGTCGATTCCTAAGTCACTACGTTCAGTTAAGGATACTTCCATTAGCATATCTATGATGAAGTTAAACAGAAATGGGGAAAGTGGACATCCCTATCGGACACCACTGGTTGTTACCAATTCAGATGACAATTCCCCACAAGCCCTTACACGACTACGTGAGTTTGAATAGAGTGCCTTGATTAGTGCGATGTACTTTCTTGGCACTCCCTTCACAGTCAGACATTGCCATAGTACCTTTCGATCCACGGAGTCGAAGGCCGCCTTCAAGTCAAGAAATATGACAATTGTTGGACGCCGAAAAGTGTGTCTATGTTCTAGAATCTGTCGAAGAGTGAAGATATGATCTATGCACCCTCTACCTGGTCTAAAGCCTGCTTGATTTTCCATCGTCTGTTCCTCCCGAGTTCTGCTTAGTCTGTGCATGATTACTGAGCCTAGGATTTTAGAGACTATGTTCGTTAGGCTGATCCCCCTATGATTATCACACGAGGACTTGTTTCCCTTCTTGAATATCGGTATAATAAGTGACTTACCCCAGTCTGATGGAACTGTCTCTGATTCCCAGACTTTGCCTAGTACCTCAGTTAATCTACAAACTAGTATGTCACCCCCATATTTAAACACCTCCGGAATAATTTCGTCGGGTCCTGCTCATTGGCCAGGTCTCACAACCATATTGGAGATATGCACTTCTCATGAGAGAGAGAGAGAGAGTACCTTGATCCATGGTCGTCTGACATCTAATGCAATAAACATTATTCTTCAGAAAATGTTCAATAATTGAAATATTAGATTTATGTACATACATATCTTGTACTCTCTGTTTTCTTTTTATATTATTATTATCATTATTATTTTTTCAGGGTTATGGGGGAAATAAAAGACCAGCCATGTTTTTTAAAAGATTTAAAACCAAATATGAAACGTGTCTCTTCTGTATTCATAGTTCTTGAATTGGGTTTGTTTGCTTTATAGCATTATTTAACCTAGCCCATCCAACATACATTCATCACACTGATAGGTCCAGTCACACGTACAAAAGACGGAAATGAAGTTCGTACAGTTAAGGTGGCTGATCGTACGGGGACAATTAATCTGTCTGTTTGGAATGAGAATAGCTCTTTGATTGCACCATGTGATGTCTTACAATTGGTTCAGGGCAATACAACAGTTCGAGGTGGTTGCTTAACCCTGAATGTCGGCCGTTTTGGTCAGCTGATAAAAATTGGAGAGTAATTCTTGTTCGCAAAAAAACAACATTGTTTTTCCACTTTTTGTAGATTTTGTTTTCCTTTTGTTGAGTCGCCTGATTTCAGTGCTTATAATGATGAGTGGTTGGCGAAATCGGTAGGTGACTGTCAACTTTCTTTGTGTGTAATGTGTTGTATATCTCTTTATAGAGTGATTCAAATTCAACAACCAAACCGGAAATTGTCACTAAGTAGTATAATGATAACACTACTAAAAATATATACTTTTTTACTGAATATTTTTCTTCTTTTTCCTTCATGCTCTGTCTACTCTTATTGTACCTCCCTGAATGGGATATAGACACAAGTCCTCCGTCCTTAACTGAGGTTACGAAAGCTGTCACTAGTTTGAAACAAGGCAAAGCAGCGGGACCTGATGGAATGACTCCAGAGGTATTTAAGTACGGTGGAGACAGCTAACTGTCTGCATTAACTGAGATACTAGGCAGCGTCTGGGAATCAAAGGAAGTCCCATCGGGTTGGTGTAAGTCACTGATTATCCCCATATACAAGAAGGGAGACAAGTCTTCCTGTGATAATCACAGAGGGATTAGCTTGACTAATAGTGTCTAAAAGTCCTAGGCTCAATAATATTGCGTAGACTAAGTGGTGCTCGGGAGGAACAAACACGAGAGAGCCAGGCAGGCTTTAGACCAGGAAGAGGGTGTATTGATCATATCTTCACCCTCCGACAGATTCTAGAACATAGGCATTCCTATCGACGCCCAACAATCACAATATTCCTTGACCTAAAGGCGGGATTCGGTTCTGTCGATCGAGAGGTTCTCTGTAGATGCTTAGCTGTAAAGGGAATTCCGAGAAAATACATTGCACTGATTAAGGCACTCTTCTCGTACTCATGCAGCCAGGTGAGGGCTTACGGCGAGTTATCATGTGAACTGGTGACGACAAGTGGTGTCCGTCAAGGATGCCCATTTCTATTCAACTTCATCACAGATATACTAATGGAATTAACCCTAAGTGACTTCAGCGACTCAGGGATTGACTTGCTACCAGGGAATAATCTTGTTGACTTAGAATATGCAGACGATATAGTTCTTCTAGGCGAGGATGCTGACAAAATGCAGTCTTCTGAGCACATCGGCATGCGATTCGCTCCAGCCAAATGTAAGATGATGGTACCGGACTGGACTACACTGACTACTAGTTTAGAAATAGCGAGTGAAGTGGTAGAGCACATTGACCGCTTCACTTATTTGGGAAGTACCATCAGCCAACGCCAAAGGTTTGATCTCTGACGAAATCTCTGCGCGGATACAGAGGGCTAGTTTCGCTTATACCGGTTTGCGTTGTCTCTGGCGTAGACATGATATCCTGCTGGCTATCGACCAAAGGGCGTGTGTACTGCTCATCAGTCTGCTCCGTCCTCCTTTATGGCTGTGAGACCTGGCCATTGAGAGTGGGAGACATGAAAAGATTAGCTGTCTTTGATCATAGGTGCCTGCGTTCTATCTCCCGTGTTAAGTGGTATAGTAGGGTAAGCAATACTGAGGTTAGGCATCGAGTGCTAGGTAAGTAAGGAGGTGAAATCAATCGACGAGACTATGAAATTACATCGACTGAGATGGTTAGGACATGTGTTACACATACATGCCTAGCCATCGCCTTCCTACACCGACGGCCAATGTTAGCTGACATAGGGTCAGGCTGGAAAAGGGCTAGAGGTGTTCAAACCAAAATATGGCTTCATCAGTCAATGGAATTCATAGCAGTTAGTTTAAGCCAGTCACGTAGGTAGGTGGAGACTTCCTGGTTGGGGTCTTCCGGACGGTAAAAACCAATGAAGGCTGGATACAATTGGTGATATGGCTCGAAATCGTTCTCAATGGCTGGTGCAGATGCATCCACTCCTTGTGACTTATGATTTCCAATGAAACTATATTCTTCTTCGTTATTACCATTCCTTTGTCTCATACCTCTGTTTACTATCCCTATTATGCATTTCTTGTCTTGCTTTGTGTGGTACATGGAGGGAGTGTGGTGACTTGAACTGGTGCACATCGGTGCAAAGTTCTATGTGTCTAATTATGAAATTAGTAATCGTCTGATGGAAGCTGTGCAGGTGCATAGGATGACTAGTTTTATGAGGTAATTAGATGCAATATACTGTAATGCACGCTGAAAATTCCATACCTGTACCACAAATACCGTTTGGAATAAAGCTGTTATTATTATTATTATTTATAAGTCACTTCGTTTCCATTTGAGGCTATCTACCCAACCCTCCAGAGTATTGTGTCATATTATGCCTCAGCTTGTTTAAAAGAACTACTAAGATGTACACTTTATGTACAATTCACATTCAACAATGTTATTTACAGAAAACAAGATGGGATCACAATGGGATCTCTACTTGGCCAATTGCTAGCAGACTGCTTCATGGCGAATCTCGAGAATGGCCCACTCAAATGAACTAGATATGTGGACGACATCTTTATTATCTGTGATCGCTGTCAGTATCTTAATCAATTACCTGATATATTCAACAACTGCCATTCAGCTACAAAGTTTACTTCTGAAGTAGAAAATGGATCTAAAATTCTTTTGCTTGATGCTGAGCTTACAAGAAGAACTGATGGAACTCTCAGAAGGTCCATCCATAGGAAACTCACATGGAATGACCAACTAACAAGCTTCTACAGCTGGGTACTAATCAGTTGAAAAAGGGGCCTAATTAGATCTTTTACTACTCGCGTCCAACGCATTCGCAGCTCTGATACCCCGGAAGAAGAACTACAATTCCTGAAAGAAATATTCATGCAAAACGGCTATCCACCAAGATATATAGACAAAGGCGTCAAACAGAAAATCCAGAAGTAAGAGACTCCATCTGCGCCAAAAGAGATACTTTATATGAACCTTAACTTCAAAGATGACCTACTCAATGATGTCCTTAAGAGGAGAATTTCCACTTCTTCGAGAAGAACTTTCTTTGCAGGAACACTGAGAGTAGTGTTCTCCAGTCGCCCGCTGACTTGCTGTAGCCCAAAGGACAAGATCTCTCACCTGACCACTTCTATGTGTAGATATCAGTTCACCTGTTGCTGTGGAGCCAGCCTGGTACATCGGTCATTCGACGCGGATCCTGTCAAAAAAGATTAGAGAACACTATCCAGCGTGGCTGTAGAAAGGAAGTAGTGGCCGTATAAGGAGTGCAATAATCGAATATCTCGTCACCACTCGTCATTCCTTCTAAACGAACGCCTCCTGCTTCAAAGTAATCAACAAAGCGAAGAACGACCTGCCGAAGACAGTACGTTTCCATCTTCTTTGCATTGCGGAAACCTTAGCCATTCAATTCAAAGAACCAGAACTATGCATACAAAAGAAAATTATTCAACCACTTCTACTATCATGGTAACAACTCTGTTGATTTGACTTAACTTTGCTTGTTTGCTTCTTTCTTCTAACTACTTAAAACTCTTACGTAATTCCGCACTTTATTTTATTTCCATATATACCCTGAGCACAACTCTTTCATCAAACTATTCATGTTATTAAGTAACTCCTCTTTATGAATTGTTTGTGACAACTCTTCACTTTTGTTATTACCGTCTTGCACTAACATTCAATTCATCTGAACGCTTTTTGTATTACGTAACTCCACCGAAAACTTACCAATTGTATTTTCAAAAAAGACGGTTGAAGCTAAGAAAATTTTCTTTTCGACGAAGTCACCGTCAACTAGGCTGTGCATTCGTGTATTTATGATAAATGGGTGGGAAAGTTTTAGAGTAATTTCCGATCAAGGGGAGAATTAGTAAAATTACAGTGAGGAATTAAAATGCCATAATAAACAGGGGGAGGGGACGGATAAAACTCAAATAAAGTAGCATCATAATTACCGAGAAGATTGGCATATTGTGCAATTAGGGGTTAGAAATGTAGAAATAAGAGAAATAGACAGGATGTTTGGATAAAAAAATCTAGTGGGATCATAACTAATGTGACGAATAATTGCTTATGCAATCAGGGATTAAATATGTAGAAATAATGAAATGACAAAAAATAGACAGGAAGTTCTGTTATAAAAATATGGTAGTGTAAAGACGGATTAAGAAGGCTTAAAATAACATGAATACATAGGAAGTTTGGATAAGAAAGGCGATGGGATGGTCATTACTAAAAGAATTACTTGTTTATGATGGTCATAGCAGGGAAAAGAGTTGGATGTATTTCTTTTGGGTACATAGCGTCGGTTTGAACTTTTGGATGGGTAGTGCCTCGAGTATGCCCAGATGTCTTAAATTCACTCCCTTTGATAGGTTTGATCAAATCTTGTATATTTAATTTGAAGGATTTTTCAAATGGCGCTGAATGTCCTGAGTTGTTGACCAGATGTTCTGTCAGTGAACTATATACACGGTTTCGATCTCCTTTTTGCTAGCCAGGTTGGATGGTGTTCACGAGCGTTTTGACAAGTTTAATACACACACACAAAACATAACCATATATATTTGCGATTGTGCAGCTGTGAAAATGAATTCGCCTCCGAAAAGAGACTCTTTGCTGAACTTACTGGTCTTCTCTACACTTAAGAGTTTCCTTGTAATGATGTAGATCGTTTGAAAAGTGTTTGACAGCCAACAGGTACATCTTCTTTCTTATCACGTGATATGGTTTATTGGAAGGGTTTACGAATAACTACAGCATGTATAGCGGGTATTACTTATAGAAGAAGAGATATACGTATGTGTGTTGCTGGGATATGTCGTCAGGTGAGTGTAGTACTTTAGAATTCTAATATTTATTACCTCAGAAATAATTCTTTTTATTTTTCTTTTAGGTTATTATATGTCAAATAAATCACATAGAAAAGAACCGATTAATTCATCTCGTTTACAAATTTTAATCGATAAAGTTACTACATGTGGTTCAAATAAGCCTGAAGATGGACTATTTGGTGAAATTATCAACCTTTGCTGGTAATTATTTTATCTTTCTTTCTGCTTATATTGTGCTTTTAAGCTCCTCTGCCTTTCTTGTTAAGTGGTATAACATTGTGAGAGATTAGGCGGTGAGTGTTAGGTAAGCGAGGATTAGTTAGTTACTCGATGAAGTTGTGAGGAGTTACATCGATTGAGATAGTTAGGGAATGTGTTGTGCATGCTTTGTCCACCACCTTCCTCGATGAGAAATGTTAACTGACATCAGATTGATGTGGTTGGGAAAGAGTTAGAGGTTGTCTAACCAAAATATGTCATTAATCCATAAAATCTTCTAGCGTTGGTTTGAGCCAGTCATGTAGAGAGGTGCAGCAGACTGCCTGGTTGGCTTCATCGGGTTGTTAAAAACGAGTTTTTATTTATTTATTTATTTATTTAAACACAGAAAAACTTGGTACAGTATGGTACTACTAATAATAAAACAACATAGATCCAAGTAAAAAAAATACATGTAGAAAACCGATAAAGAACCTCATCTGGAAGGAAAACAGTTATATTTGACAAGTTCAAACAGCATTTGTCAATTATCGTCGGAAAGGGAAGAAAAAAGGAAATTGCAGCACTTTCCCTATTGATGACTACGATTCATAGCCATATCCAATAACGTTTTGAGCCAGCTATTTAAGCTATCTCTCGGACTCCAACCTGGGAATCGTGATGCACCAATCGATGACGCTAACTTAACACACAAATATCCTTCATCCCACGACGCCACGTTATGGGCTGACCACTTCTCCGCTTGCTTTTTCCATCTCATCCCAGGACTAGCGAATAGAGACCTGTACGGAGGTATCTACGTGTACGTGTATCTACAAATTTAGTTGCTCCTGTGGAAAGAGCTGGCTATATAGGGCGGACAACTAGACAGCTTAACAAACGTGTTAATGAGCATCTCCCTTCATGGTTTGGAAAAGACCAAATAAAGCCGATAAGAAGTTCTATTTGGACTCATTTGAGTGATGACAGTGGTCACCAAGTTATCTATCGCATTCTATAGAACTTTTAGAACGAAATTCAAACCCACCATTTCTTTTACATATAGCTAAAACTCTGGGAGTTAATTCGAGAGAACAATCCAAGTATTTGCATACAACAAAAAGAAGTTTATTCTACCTTTGTCTCTCCCTCCCTTGGCCTAGGTGAATTCTAATCAAAACCCTCCCACCCTTCTTTATTTTCCATTTCCTTCGTGCTTTTATGATATTTATTTAAACTCTGATTCTCTGCCCACTTCACCTTTAGTATTACGTTGGTGCGTCGGCGGCTCAAAGGTAGGATGCACGCCAACCACACCTCACGTGGTCCGGGGTGAGATCTCTGGCTGAGGCACTCCTTTACCTAGCTAAGCCATTAGTAAGACTGGTTAAGAGGTCAGGTTGAGCAGGATGCTGACTAGCAACCCCATCCCGTAAAAGATAAACACCATTGCTACCGAAACTTCAAGCCTCTAGCTTGAAGCGCCCTATGTTCCACTGGGAACGTAAAGGAATTAAAAAAAGTGAATTGTCTACATATACACACATAATATTACTACCTTCGTTATTCTTATCGCCACCTGCATAAACCTTATTATCAATATTTTGTTATCATTATAATCATTGTTATTAATGACGTTCAAAACATTTAACACATTATTAATATCATTATTATTTGATCCACAAAATCACCGTCATTGGTTAAATTCTGTTTTATATATAAATCTATGTAAATTAGAGTAAAGCCTGAAGAAGATCTAACTGAAAACAATATTGTTCCCTTATATGTCTTGTTCTAATACTAATAATGGGAATATTTAAAGATTTTTGGTACATGTGCAGCAGTTCAAGTCGCCACACTCCTTCCATGTAACACACAAATCAAGAGAAGGAAGTAAAAGAAATGCATAATAGGGACAGTAAACAGAGGTGTGAGACAAAGGAATGGTAATAACGAAGAAGAATATAGTTTCATTGGAAATCATAAGTCACAAGGAGTGGATGCATCTGCACCAGCCATTGAGAACGATTTCGAGCCATATCACCAATTGTATCCAGCCTTCATTGGTTTTTACCGTCCCGAGGACCCCAACCAGAAAGTCTACATCTTCCTACGTGACTGGCTTAAACTAACTGTTGTGGATTCCATTGACTGATAAAGCCATATTTTGGTTTGAACACCACTGGCTATTTTCCAGCCTGACCCTATGTTAGCTAACATTGGCCGTCGGTGGAGGAAGGCGATGGCTAGGCATGTATGTGTAACACATGTCCTAACCATCTCAGTGGATGTAATTTCATAGTCTCGTCGATTGATTTCACCTCCTTACTTGCCTAGCACTCGACGCCTAACCTCAATGTTGCTCACCTTACTATACCACTTCACACGGGAGATAGAACGTAGGCACCTGTGATCGAAAATCGGAGGTATGCCATTCTTTCTATTCTCCCAGTGTAACTACAACCTGAAATATATGTAAATTTGTATATATAGTTTGAGTTAACATGAGAAGAATATCTATCGATTTCTGATTGCACCAAGGAGTGAGTTGTCCGAATAGATCCTGGCTGGTGAGGCTTTCAGTCTTCTGTTGAAATCGTGTTTCTTTCCAATCAAATGTATTTGGTAAATGAATGACCTCTTTAATTGGACGCTAGTTAGTAACTAGTGTGATGTGCCTAATCCTTTCTTTGTTGCAGACTGAATTCTATCAGTCAATCAAGTTTACAGTGTGGCCACCATGCTGGCTGGGTAGCTCGCCATCACGGTGGTAACACATCTCTGACTGCAGCACTAGGTGATGCGGGTTCGAATCTCAGAAGGGATATGAGCTGTTCGTTCAAGGTTGCAGATACATCTTTCTGACGACGAATGGGGAATGCTAACTAGCACAAAACCAAGGTCAAGCAAAGTTGCTTTCTTGTGGCCGATTGTCTCCGACCACGTCTGCTATCATCAAATGAATGACTTCTTTGTCAAGTGAGACAGACACCTTCAATGCACACAAAAATGTAATATGATTTCTAAAGGAAGTTTTATTTTCACCTTACAGGTACTTAAAATCATTTCTTATCGAATTCTAACTTCTGTTGGTTTGTCGGAAAGACACTCACACTCTGTTCTCTTGATTTCTTCTTCAGCGAATCAACTCCTATCGTTTCTGATCTCTTCCGACTGGCTACTGTTCAGTTAATGCGTAAACATGCACAAATTCGACTTGGTGTACTCAGGCTACTTAGAATGTTATCTTCACCTCAGGAAATCGTTAAGAAGATGGCTGTATCAATTGATCGTGCTTCTGACTTCCTCCCATTGTCAAATCATCTTCGAATTTTGATTTTAGATAATTTACAGGTGAGTTAATCATTTGTGCATTGGAGATAAACTATTTCAGGCATTGGTTTTGTATGGATTTTGTTTGATTGGATGGAGGATTTCATCATAAGCTGACATCAGTTAGAGAACCACTGGAAAACCTGGGAGTACAGAACATCTGTTTCGTCAGTCCAGTTTGGGACTTTTCAGTAGTACGCACCCACCACTGTTCGAACCCAGGACCTTCTGGTTACAAGACTAGCGAGCTCGTAGACCAGTGAGTCACTGGAACCCGATCCAATGGTCCTTGAATTCTAACTTCTACCAATTCACGACATAGCGCGACCATTTCACAATGTCTTTTTCGATGCGTTACTGCCTCATCGTACCGACGAAGAGTTCCAAACTCGGACGAAACAGTTATCCAGTACTCCCAGGTTTTCCAGTGGTTCTCTAATTGATGTCAGCTCACGGTGAAATCCTCCATGCAATAAACTATTGTAACAACAGAAGACAAGGGCCAGGCAACAGATCGTTTTATTATGAAAATCAACACGTATTTATACATATTTCACATACATTATTATAGCTTATGCAAGTAGACAAGCGCAGTTATCTGATTTGTTGTTTATCAGAAGTTAGGCAGACAAACGCAGGCTTCTGGTTGGTTGTTTCGGGATTCCTCGACAAATAGAGTTCTCTATCTGCGAATCATATTTTGCCACGTTAACTTTGCTGTGATTGGTTGTCGAATCAGCCTTGCTCATATTTTCTCACGGTCTGCTCTCACCACACTATTTCCTCTTATCCTTTCTATTGGACTGTTCGCGAAAATGTACTGACTCTGATGATGTGATATGTCAACATGTTGGAGTAACTTTAGATCACTATCTCCTCGATGTTACGTTTGAGGGGATATCCAACTTGTCGTTTTCCACTTAGGTTACACTCGAGAGGGCATCTGGGCGCGTGTGATGTCACTTTGTGGTCTCCTCTTTGTTAGTTGATCTCAGGCCAGAGTTGCTTTTCGCTGATCCTTTCTGACCATCTGATTTTCAGTATCGAGACAGCAAAGGCAGGTGTCAATAAATGTCTACAGCAGGTTAGAAATGCTTTTCCTGATATGCTCAGTGTCTAAATCATATGGGGGAGGGGGAAGCATTGACTGACTTAACATTTGTTTTGAAAGTCCGAATCTTGTGCCCTTATGCTGAGTGCTATTCATCTTCACATTGGCTTCAAAAGTAATGAATGTCTGACTCAAACAGGCCAATGCGCCTTGAGGTTCGAGTACCTCCTTGCATACATCAGTCTAAGCAACTGTGTAGTATCGCCCACTCTCAGACGATAAGTGTGGCTTGTAGGTGGCGGATGCATCAGAAATCTTTTATACAGAGGGAGAAGATTTATAACTTGCTTTATGATTTTTGTTGTTGTTAAATATTCGTCATATTTGGTAGCTTCATTACCATCCCTGGTGCCATGGCGATGTCGGCCTGGCTGTCATAGACTGGGTCTACAATGCTTAAGTGCACACAGTGCGCATTGCTTTACGTTTGTGAAGATTGGCCTCTCCGAGCTGAGGATGCGCTTTCGATCATCGCTATCTCCGTAATTCTGAGATTTGGTAGCTTGTGTTTTGACACGGCAGAGGTTGGCATCTATCATTAAGTGTGATCGTCTTGCAAATGTCGGCTTCGGTGGTGGCATGGGCATATTACTACGACTGTTATCCTAGTGAGGCTGTCATACCGTCCACTGTTCACAAGCCGTAAGACTGGATGGAGAAAGTGGAGAGGTAGTTAGCCTATAGCATAGCGCTGTGGACTGAAGAATATTTGTGTTTGGTTGTCATTGGTTAGTACATCACGATTCCCTTGGTGTGGGAATCTTAGAGATTATTCGTATGTGTAACTGAAGACGGTCAGTAATCTGAATTAGTGGCGAACATGCTAAAATTTCTGTCTTTCTTCCCTTTCTGAAAGCAACGTGAAGTGATGTGAATGTTGACTCATCTAGTCAAGTCGGTTTGCTTGTGTTTGTCTCGGTGGTCTCCCTCATTTATTTTATCCCTATTTTCCTTACTTAATATTGTTTTATTATTATGGAGTTTGTGGCGCATTTCTGGGTGCCCATAATGTATCAAGTTCTTGTCTCTACTAGTGTAACGACAGAAGACAAGGCCAGACAACAGATCGTTTATTCGGGAAATCAACAGATATTTATAGATTTCCATGTACTTTATTATTCGTTGTTATTAGCAGAGGAACAGCCTCTTGTCATTGGTTGTTTTCTCGCTGAAAGTTATTCTGTCACCTCCTTGTGGCCATTTCTTTGAAGGTCAGACGATATATCTGCGAATCGTATCCGCCTATACTAAGTCTGCTGTGATTGGTTATTGAGTTTCTCAAGGTTAGGTTTTGTTCTTGTTTTCTCTTCTGACCAATTTTGGCTAGCCGACAGCTTTCATCACACCCGTCCATCCGTCAAAGACTTTCGGGTGAAGTCGACTCGGTCTTCTTGGTTCTGGTGGCTTTGTTCATTTGTCTTGCTGTCTGGAATTCCTCCAGTCACCTGTTTTTTTGTTTACATTTTGCGATCGTATCTACTTGACCCCGTCTATAACAGTGACCATATGTGGTCCTTTCCACTTTAGAAGCTTTTCGCCTAACCCTGGCGCGCATTCGTCTATGTTTCGCTTCACACTTTCATATGCTGCTTTCACCCGATCTCCTAGCAGCATTCGAACTATTTTTTTTATTACAGCTTGATTCCACACCGTATTTTTGGTAAAAGTATGGGATTTTCAGCATGTGATATCGGTAGCCCAAATTTTGCAGGCCGACCATAGATATCGGGTGTGTGTCGGCAGGGGATCGAACCTCGGATCATGTGCATGGTCGGCGAGAGTCCTAACCACTATGCCACCGACGCACAGTGACAGCCTCATCGCTGACAGATCTTGAATGCGACTCAACTGGGCAACGGCTTCGAAGTCCAACCCGAAGATCCATATGTCTCCATCAAAAGCTGTAGGGCATAGGCTTTCCATTTGTCGGTAGGCAGCGACACCAAATGTGACGACAGAAGACAAGGTCCAGGAAACAGATAGTTTATTGGGGAAATCAACAGATATTTATAGATTTTTATGTACATTATTATTAGCGTTATTGTTAGCAGAGAAGCAACGTCTTCTGATTGGTTGTTTTCCTTTTGAAGGTTATTCTGTTTCTTAGACAGTCGGTTGATATATCTGCTAATCGTATCCACCCACGCTGTCTCCTGTGATTGGCTGTTGAGTTAGTCATTGTTCTTACTTTTTTCTCATGACGAATATTTGGGACTTACACATTGACGTCAATCGCTGTCTAGCGATTTTGACTAGCAGACAGCTCTCACCACACTACTAATAATAATAAATCATAATACTTTTCCCCTTCAGGATATATATTCAAATGTGGTACAGTTGGACTCAGATTCCCCGTCTCTTCCTCCACCAAAAGAGGCTGCAGAACAATTACAAATTGAAGCCTTGGAACTACTCCTTGATTGGGAGTATGAATTACACCATGGCTATTATGATGTCTCTCCGTGGAATCATCCGTTGGATACATCCTCCTGCTTACAATGGATACCATCACAAAGAGGTCGGGGTCAATTGAATGCCTTTTTGAATTATCTTAGCTTGGATCACCGATCAATTCATCATATGACAAGTTGTGAATATCTGTCGACAAGAGAACGAATTGAAAAGATTAAAAAGAAACGTGATCAAAAAGTCAGACTGTTTAATAGGGAAAAAGTCAAATCACAACATCTTCTAACCAAGTGTTTGAAAGAAATTGAAGGTACAGTTGATTCTTCGTCTCTTTTTTTCTCCCTTTCTCTTTTTCTTTCCTTTGTGTTCCGGGTGGCATAAAACTTGGGCACTGTCGTGGTAGAGTATAACTCCAATATAGATAAGATTTTATTTTGATAAAATCACACACAGTGTACTTCCATATTAGTTTGTGAAACAGTATTATTATTTACTGGATGACGAAGCTGAGAACACAATTTATTGCCATTCATAATCATTTCATCAATTATAATCACACGACTTCGAAACTTGAGTTTTATAGTTTTCTTTGTTCTCTCCTATTTGTCGTCGTGGGAGTGATAGCAGTAGAATTTTCCAGATATCTGGGTGGACAGGTGTTCAATCACTTCTGTTACATGTATTTGCAGTTGATTCGATATACAAAGCTCCTGTTATCAATCCTGCTCCCTCCACCCTGTGACATTGGATTTTGAAACTTTCCTATTGTATGGTTGTGTGTAATTGCATGTAGTGAGTGCTATAGCTGAACTATTCTCTAGATTTCTTATCTTTTTCGGGTCAACCAATCTAGATTTGGCAAAGTTTTTGGGCTTGGCTAGTCTGACTGCCCCTGTTCTACTACTTTGACCTGTGTATTTGACATGGCAATCATTTCAAGCAGGGTATTAGATAAACTAAATTGTTTTGTTTTTATAGGCTCCACAGGATTGATCCTTTAACCGACAAGCTTGTAACTAATTGAGTTTGTGGGTGGTTTGAATGCCAGCCACTTTTATTCCTACCTTGTTGAGAATTCTGCGTAAGGTGGTTTCCAAGGTTGATGATTTAGATTCCTTATTGTTGGTGTTGTCATTATCTTGTGCATGTTCGACATACGTGTCGTCCCTAATATTACTACTACTATTGTGATTATCATTATTATTAAAAGCTGTAAATTACATGGTACTCAACGATGGCAAAAAGATAGAAATTTGATAAGGTTAAAATTGTTATTGAGTGAGAATAAAGGTGGTAGTTAAGTGTCAATTTAACAAGTGTGAAGAGGGTGTGAAAATGTGCAAAAGGAGCATATGAGAGTGATAATAGTGAATTAATTATTAAAGCAAAATAAAAGTAAAATAAAAATAAAAAAAAAAGAGTACCACGTAATTTACAATTTTTAATTTTCACTTCTTAAGCCACTTATCGATTATTATCACTATCACTACTATGATTATTTAATTTATTTTTACATTTTTCTACATACTTCCTGATTAATTTATCAGGGTAATTAATAAGTTTCAAAGCTTCTTTTATGTGTATCACTTCCTGTTTTAGATTTTCCTTGGTACTACTTAGTTTTTGTGCCCTGTTACTTAAATATTTCACCAATCGTATTTTTACTGACATAAGATGGGATGATCGGAACTCCAAATATCTGTTTGAATGTGTGGGTTTTCTGTAAACACACATTAGTGTTTAAATTCCCATCTTCTTTCCTTTTTATTTTATTTTTTATTTTTATTTTTTTAATTTTGATTACAGCTTGATTCCACATTGTATTTTTGGTACAAGTATGGAATTTTCAGCATGGATATCGGTAGCCCAAATTTTTGCAGGCCGACCATAGATATCAGGTGTGCGCCGGCAGGGGATCGAACCTCGGACCATGTGCATGGTCGACGAGAGTCCTAACCACTGTGCCACCGACGCACGCTTTTTTACGCTTTCCAATTCATCATAGGTGAATTGAATTGCTTCTGTCTTTGAGGTAATGTGTTCGAAAAATCTGTCTATATCCTGTGTTCTAAGTTTTACCAAGAGAAATCTAAGCCAGGAAGTGAAGCATTTCAGAGAAGCTTTGAAACTTAATAATTACCCTGATAGATTAGTCAGAAAGTATATGGGGAAATGTAAAGATAAAATAAATTTGTAGTATTGATAATGATGATAATAATAGTATCAATGACGATATGCATGTGAAACATGCGGAGAAATCTTGAGAATAGTCCAGCTATACCACTCACTACATGCCATTACACACAACCATACAGCATAGGATGAGATGGGATAAGATGGCAGTTTTAAAATCTAATGTAACAGCGGGGTGGAGGGAGAGAGTGATAACGGAAGCTTTGTTTGTCGAATCAACTTATAGGGAATACCTGTAATAGGAATGATATAGTCTAGTTTTACACATAAATTAACACAATGTACTGTTTTTATGCGATAGATTGCTAGTCTTATATGTATGCCCCATTCCGCCTTCCATATTCCACGAACTTCCTGCCAGTTAAGCAAGGTTTCAAAAGTGTGTGTCGGCTGGGAATCGAACCTCCCCTTGGACCATGTGCATCACACTGGCAGTCATCCCACCCCTGAATCACCTTGGCACAAATTGATTCCTCTACTGTCTCCTTTTTCTTCCACCCTGTTGACGGCAGTATTCTGTAAACACTAATCATGTATGGCATTGAGTTATCTGTGATGCATTTATGTATGTATTTAAACGTGAATTCGGCATAGTATGGGCGGCTACAATTTGTGTGAGAGCTGAGATACTATCCGAATGCCCAAACTAAGGCCTGTAGTGGTGCCTTTGACTTGAGTTCTCATCCACAAGGCAGCAGTTGAGCGTTGGGAGCTGCATTCCCTTGGATATGTTGATAATCAAACAAGGTTCGCACGTGATTTGTACCTTTTAGATTAGAGTTTTAGGGCATCATACACCATTGGTTTAGGAGTCAGCCTTTCCGTACTCTTCTAGGAGGCTTTCCGTGTTCACCAATCCGATAATCTGCCGAACAGTCGCATTCACTGTCACTTTTATAAGATATACCTCGTGCCCCATGCGGTCAGTGCATAGGAGTAGTTATTAGTGATATAGTGACTTAACAATGTGACGAAATGGAGCTTCATTCACCAGTCGATTTAAAATTGAAGTGGAAGTGTGTGGGCGGTTGTTACTTCCCGGTTGCCCACACCGTGAAAGTTAATTGGTTCTTCGGTACCTGAAACATAAAGAGGGTTAGTGTTGTGTGACCGCAGAGCTCAGGCGACAACTGTTTGAGGCCAGTCACACACTGCCTGTATGAACTAGTTTCTTGTATTGGTTCCATATTAGTAAACTTACCGCCGGTTACGGACCACCGTAGGGTAAGTCGGGATAGACAATTGTTGGGCTCATCGACCTTTTCTAACCCCGCCCCCCCTCCAGAGTGGAGGGATACCATAGCTGACTGGCATACTGGTCATTTGAGGGGAACACCTTACTGCTGTTACATCCCTGTTCGCCCACAGACCCCCAGCATAGTGTAAAACAAAAAGTTCTTACACTATGCCGGTAACTACTTTTAGTCTAATCGCTATCCTAACAGTCATCCCAACATGGTACGACCTGCAGGTACAATAGTTCCAGTGCCTGTGTAGCTTGTTGGGTCATAGTGATATGCAAGCCCGGTGGGCGACTACCACATCAAGGTAGCAGCTATCGGTTGGGATTTAAAATTCAGGTGGGAGGACAAAGCTTATTCACTTAGGTGATTACAAGGTTATTAGAGAATTAGATTGTTTGAAAAGTAATTTCCACCATGTACGTACTAACTCGTACTTGTTATTATTATTATTATTATTATTATTATGACTATTTGTGAAAAATTATATTTGTACAATCTCAGAGAGATTGAAATGATCAATTCCAACGTTTCCTGTGTTCGGCAATCTAGTCAGAACTTCTTCAGGGAAATTATTCGAAATTAACATAACAGAGGTTTATATACAGAAAAGGAACATCTCTTATTTTAAAAGACTTTGTCCAATCATGATTCATAAAACAAGTAACAACAAGTTTAATAAACAAAATTGTATGAACCATGACCAAAATTTGCCCTCGGACTTACATATATTGGTCTACCTTTGTGATATGTATCCACATATATATATTTATGTGTGTGTGTGCATGTTGGTCTCTCTTTCTGTTTGCTCGGTTAGTCTGTGACCACTTCACTTGTATGGACTTGTCTCCTTTAATAATGTGTATTCTCCTTATATTATATTATATATAATATGAGTGTTTGTTGACAGTCCGTTGCTTGGTGACATATATCCATATATGTTTGTTGGCATGTCTGCTATATTCGCTATGTATAATTGGATCGACACTCCATTATAATTAGCCATTCATGTTAAGACTGTCTAATGATTTTTCCCACGCTTGTCTGAATTATTTATATATATTCGCATTCACAATTTGTGTGAACTACTTTACTTTACAACTACTTGACTTGCTTACCACTTTGGTGTGAGACCATTTATTTTCGTCTCCTTGTGTTTGGACAATAGAAGTATCATCGCAAACCTAGTGGTCTTCTGATTTCCGCCTTCTCGCGTCAGGACTATTAGTTTCTCGACCAGTCCATAACAATAATTCAGCGACGAGTACATAACAATTTGGCGACGAGAAAACTGGAACATAACAATTTGGCGACGGGGGGAAAACTACTATTAACCACACAGCAGCAACAACATAACAATTTACTATGGATTATTCTAAATTGGAATTATTGTTTGAACAACAAATGAAATTAATGGAAATGTTCGTCAACCAACAGACTGGTCCAGCTTCACCTTCAAGCAATCCCAATCATACCATGCTACCATCTGTCGACGGAATTGTGAACAGCATTTCACAGTTCAATTATGACCCAGAGGCTAATGTCACTTTTGACACATGGTATCAACGTTATGAGGATTTATTCACTGTTGATCTCGCCTCACAAGACGATGCCTGGAAGGTGCGAGTTTTGCTACGTAAATTGGGTCCGGCAGAATATGAACGGTACTGCAACCTAATTTTACCACAGAAACCACGTGACAATTGTTTCGATGATACAATAAAGTTGCTGCGTGAACATTTCGGAGACCACTCCTCATTATTCAGTATACGTTATCGTTGCCTCAAGCTGGCAATGAATGAAAATGATGATTTTCTTACTCACGTTGGCACAGTCAACCGAGAATGTGAGAGATTTCGACTCAGGTCCTTAACAGATGATCAGTTCAAAGCCTTGATTCTCATATGCAGTCTCCAATCTCCTCGTTTCACAGATATCCGAACTCGACTGCTCAATCAGCTAGAACAAAATCCCAAGTTAACATTACATGACATAGCTGATGAATATCAACGGCTGATTAATCTGCAGAAAGACACACACCTGGTCGAATCAACACCTCCGAGAAGCTCTGATATTCGTGCATTACGCAAGAGCAAAAATCTCTCATCATCCACTCCTGACCCACCTACTTTCTCTAATGTTCCGCGGAAATCTACACATACTCGTCCAACTTCACAAAATACTGCAAAGAAGACCCCTCCATCACCATGCTGGCATTGTGGCGCGTGGCACTTTGTAAAGTCTTGCCCATACAAAAATCATCGTTGCAGCAAGTGCAAAATCATCGGTCATAAAAATGGGTTTTGTCAGCCACGCCAACTCAGATATCATAATCCAGCAAAAGCTCAACAAAATGTCGGTCCTAAATCTCCAAAAAGATCACTGAGTCTACGTGCAACCTGTCAAGTCACAACACCAGCTATGCGGAAATATATTGACCTTCAGATGAATGGTCATGATACACGTCTGCAGCTAGATACCGCCTCTGATATTACTGTTATATCAGAGAAACTTTGGAATTATATTGGCAGACCACCTATCACCAATACTTCCCAGTCTCTTCTCAGCGCCTGTGGTGGGCGGCTCAAACTAATTGGTGAACTCAAATGTTCTGTTTCCTTCCGCAATACCAAATTCACAGGAATTTGTTACGTCACGAAGAATGATTTAAATGTTTTGGGACTTGATTGGTTCGATCGTTTGCATCTGGCTGATGTCCCACTAAATTCTCTACGCAATACAGTGAAGAAGCATAAAATGCTAGACAATTCCGGACGGAGCCGAAGCCGCAAACCCAACAATCAGACGAAACGACAGGCGTCAACAACAAGCCCAAAGGTCCCAGATAAACCCCCAGGTAAACATCCTACTAATCATCCATCTTCTCAAAAGGGGAGGTGATATGTATCCACATATATATATTTATGTGTGTGTGCATGTTGGTCTCTCTTTCTGTTTGCTCGGTTAGTCTGTGACCACTTCACTTGTGTGGACTTGTCTCCTTTAATAATGTGTATTCTCCTTATATTATATTATATATAATATGAGTGTTTGTTGACAGTCCGTTGCTTGGTGACATATATCCATATATGTTTGTTGGCATGTCTGCTATATTCGCTATGTATAATTGGATCGACACTCCATTATAATTAGCCATTCATGTTAAGACTGTCTAATGATTTTTCCCACGCTTGTCTGAATTATTTATATATATTCGCATTCACAATTTGTGTGAACTACTTTACTTTACAACTACTTGACTTGCTTACCACTTTGGTGTGAGACCATTTATTTTCGTCTCCTTGTGTTTGGACAATAGAAGTATCATCGCAAACCTAGTGGTCTTCTGATTTCCGCCTTCTCGCGTCAGGACTATTAGTTTCTCGACCAGTCCATAACAATAATTTAGCGACGAGTACATAACACTTTGTTAAACACTCAGCGCCCGAATATTTTAGAACTATTCTGTCAAATCTTGACAACAGTTCATTTGAATTATTTTGCAATCGAATTAAATTAACGAAGAAACTATGTAATTGGCACAATCATCCTGTTTTCACTCTCCGTTGTTTGCAACAGAATGCGTATGCTAAATCTGTAGCTGTCCAGTCACCTGACAACTTCAGTGAGTCGAATAAAGCAGCTCAATCTTCAGAAAGAAGACAAAGCAATAAGTTCGACAGGGTGCTTCAGCTAAACTCTAATCCTAAACACCATAATTTTGAAAATACGTCTAATCATCAAATTCTAGATACTAACAGTTTGAACAGACATGAAGGTGTGATGTTGGCTGATGCATGGCAAATCCTGATTAATAAATAAAAATGGATATGTATCACTAATTAATTAATAATACTTGGTCAAAATTCCCGACTGTCTATATCTTCTTATGGAGACGTTAAGACATTGTTTTACACCTGTTCACCCCCACACACACACACATACACACTGTGTTTAAAGTGTTTAACAAAGGAAGATCAATATTTGGAAGTCTGAGGTCAAATTGTGATCACAGCTCATACAATTTTGTTTATTATACCTGTTAATACTTGTTTTATGGCTTATGATTGGACAAAGCTTTTAAAACAAGAGATGTTACTTTTTTGTATATAAACCTCTGTTATGTTAATTTCGAATAATTTCCCTGAAGAAGTTCTGACCGGATTGTCGAACACAGGACACGTTAGAATTACTCATTTCAATCTCCCTGAGATTTTACAAATATTAGTTTTTATAAATGTCTACTTCTCAGTCAGCGCCCAAATATTTTAGAATTATTCTGTTAAATCTTGATGACAGTTCATTTGAATTATTATGACTAATTTCTAATTTCAAACCTCATTTTATTTCCTTATTGTCAATACAGATGACAAGGAGTTGATTGAAGAGAATCTGACAGCCTTATCAAATTTACTGGATATCTTAGTGCCAAATCCATCTATTATGAGCAGTAGTCATAGTAGTATTGATAAAACGAACCATCAGAAGAGTGAAACTGAAACAACAGAGTCAAATCAACTGATGACGGATTCCGACAACCAATCTCATGAAGCAACAACCGAAAAAGCCAATCCTATGGATAATTTACGTCTGCATGGTTGCCTTCTTGGAAGTTCTAGCGGTTATGGTTTAGGTTCAACGCTTAATATTGAAATTCATATACCCTATAATTTTCAAACCGATTCAACTCATATTTCATCTGGACCAAAAGTTCATGTGAAACGATCCAAAGAGATACGGGATGTCGAAGATTCAGCTAAGCGATATGCTCATTTAGCAAGAGAAAAGTATAAGCCTAAATTAATCAATTGGTTACAAGTAAGTTGGCGATTTTTAGTCGTTTTGTAGACATTTTTTACACTCTATTATTATTATTATTACAAGTGCGTGTGTGTGTGTTGGGGGGGGGGAGAACAGTAGTTAGGATTCTCGGCGACCATACAAGTGGTCCGCGGTTCGATCCCCTACCGACGCAGACTTGATATCAATTGGTTGGCCTACAAAATTTAGGCTAGCGATATTACCTGCTGAAAATTCCACACTTGTACCAAAAATAAGCTGTGGAATTAAGCTATAATCAATAAAAAAAACAACTTCCCAGAATTTCTTGGAATAATTTCAACACCGAGTCAGATTGAATCATTATAAATTATTTAAAATAATCCCCAGGGTGTTGCAGACAAATCAAAATACGATTTTTCTGAACGTTTCTCTGTGTAGAAGTGAATCGGTGGACGGTAACTAGCAGTTGAATCCACTAGGATGCTCGTTTTGTCCTATTTAAGACTCGTCGTCTAGCCGCACCTGCATTCCCCAGTAAGTGATAGTGTTCCTTACCGAGGCTCGAACCCAGTACCCAAAGTTTCAAACGCCAAAGCTTTATCCAGTAAACCGCTTGCACTACAAGAGAGCCACCTCTTGTGCAACGGGTCATATTAATTATTTAATTCAGTTTTAGATTTTCCCGTCCTTCCTGTTAGCGGCTCTCTCTAAATGATGCGTCATTTCGTAATCATCTTTCATCTCATGAAAATGTAGCGAAAATTTTCATTCAGACATTTATAAAACACAAAATAATTGGCTCTACAATTATATATATATATATATATATTTACATACATAGAATATTCTAGATTAGTAGTTAATAACAATATTCGTGTTTTTACATAATAACGATTTGTAAACTAACGTCAATGGAATAACAGTTCATTGAAGATACTTGAATTATAATAATAATAATAAAGATGTAGTAGTAAATAGATTGTCAAATAAAATTAGGAAAATTCCACAAAAATTGCGCATCATTGAAATCTAGATGGCCAAGGTAAGGATAATATCTGAACTGTCTTCTTTTGGATGACAAATTAGGCTTCTTAATGTTGATTCCCAACAGCCAGCCTCATCAATATTTAGTAGTTGAACTCTTAAGGCGAGGTTAAAATTTGTTGGTATGCGGTAAATGACTTTGAAAGTCGCCTGGTTGACATCAACCTTATGTTCTGCATCTACAAGATGAGATAGAATAGCTCCACGAATAGATTTTGTTTGTCCTTTACTTAACCAACCACTTTGCAGGGTGATGTTCAGAAATCCGACGAGAAACACGCTTAATTGTATAGCCTATGCAACTAACTGGCTCACTCCACAGTAGCAGTCAAATTGGTAGATACAAATGGAAGAGGGGAAATTAGGCAGTTTGTCTTTTATTCTCGAACGCAAAATGCAGGTGAGTGGTTTTGAAGACACAGCGTGATTCAGCACCACAGAATACCCTTTTACCGCATTTCTAAGGCGTTGTGTTAGTATCTCACTGATGTTGTCCCCAAGGAACTGAATTTGTAAGAATAAGGCCTTCCTTTTTCGGAACTGTTGGCACCTTGAGCTGCTTTGATTTTAGATTCATATTCTTATCGATAAACGGTTTCTGGATAACCATTTTCACTCAGCAACCGTTTAGTATTATTAAGTTACTCATCAAGACATTCATCAGAACAGATTGCTGTTGCTCTATGTGTCGCAGACCAAACACCTTATCAGATTGCGTTGTGTTGATTCAGATCTATGTGTGTATATATATTTTTCCCTCGTTTTTCGTTGTTTATTCTCAATAGTCTCTGGAAAGTGGCATTCAGTTAATTAGTTTGCCTAAAAATCTTTTGAAAAAACGAAACGAAAAAATCGAACAGATTAAACATTGGATTAATCGTCTTGAAACGCTGACTTCACTTTTCTATGATCGAATTGAATTTATTAATGAAGCTGGCGATGAAGAGGATGTTGATGGATGTCAAGAAAACTATGATAAAAAACTGACTGTTGGTCGTGGTGGCGGTAAGTGGGTATCTATTCTGTTTGTTGTATTGGCCAAATTAAAACTGATCTGTTTTTTTTTTTTGGTGTGAATGACTGATATATGTACCCACATGATGTGTGTGTTTTGTTTTTGACAGTCTATTATATTTTGCTATGTGTATATGCGTCGATATTCCATTATAACTGAAAATATGCTTCTGTCTGTCTACTGACTAAATAAACATGTATGACCTTGTTATCACATGACATTACAACCAATCATGTTAAGACTGGCTATTTATTGGTTCATGTGTAGTAGCCATTTTCCTATATACTCTTGCTTTATCATTCTTGTTCATATTCTTGTTCTCATGTTTCGTACACTAAGTGCCATTTCACTCACACTCTTGTGTGACATTTATTTTCCTTGTCTGGAAAATACAAGTATCATCGTAAACCTGGTGGTCTTCTGATTTCCCTCTTTCCGCGTCAGGACTACTCGACGAGTACATAACAATGACTGACTGTGAGAGGTTCAGCGTAGAACTTTGCACTGAAGTAAAGAAGTTCAACTCGTCACCATATTCCATGTAGGCAACAAAGGTGGAGAAAATAGATCAAAAAAGAAAGATATTTAAAAGAGAACTGTATGATTGACGTAATAAGGAAGAGTATACAAATTGAATAGAGCTAAAATATGATTGGGGATTACCATACTTTAGCATACAAGGATTAAGACCATGAAAGTTGGAGGAGACGGGTTGAACGAAGTTTTTCTGTACACAGAGATTCGGCTTTTCTGTTTCGATAGCCAAAGATGCCTTCAGCAATGCAGAAGATGAGTCGGGTACGTAGGGATTTGGGTAAATTACTCTTTACCTTGTAGATGACTTTAAAGGCGTAGGTTATAGAGGAGATAGGGTGATCATTATCGACCAGATGTTCAATGATCGCGCTTCTTATTGCTCAACTTCCACCTTTTCGTAGCCATGCAGGATAGTGTTCTTGGACAAAACTCGAGTCGAACAACCGATATACCTAGCTCCACACGAGCAGGTGAATTAATAAACACACACGTAGAGTTGGTCAACAGCGGGATCTTGTCCTTCAGGTTATTGGACAGTAATGGTCGGCTAGTAAGGGCTATTCTCAGGGAAGCAGCAGGGAATGTTCTTTTCAATGACTGTGTTATCTTTCGTTTCATGATATCGGAAGCTAAGTCTTCTTTCCAATTCCATGCTCATATAAAGTATTTTCTTGAGTACGGATGATAAGTCACGTTTTTTAGGATTTGAATGTATATTCTTATCTATAAAACGTGGTGGAAATCCATTTTCCATTAGCATTATCCTCAAAATGTATAACTCATCTTCCACAGTATCAGTGCTACATATGGGCCGAATACGAGTGGCAAGCGACCGGACCAGGTTTCGTTTTCGACCAATGGGTACCCAGCTGTAGAAATTTGTCAGTTGACCATTCCATGACAGCTTACGATAAATCGATCTCTTCAGAGTTCCATCAGTCCTTCTTGATAAGTTCACATCGAGGAAATGAATGCTAGACTCGTTCTCCATTTCGAGTCATTCTAAATGAATTCTTTTTTACAACGATAAATTCTATGCTATTAAACTATATAATTGTTATGTACTGCTGAGTAGTTAATTGTCAAGACCACCAAGTTCACGATGACACGTGTATTTCCAACAAGGGAAATTAACTGTCACACAAGTGTGTGAGTGAAAGGGTACGCAGTGTACGAAAGGTGTGAACAAGTGTGTGTAAAAATGTACAACGCAGAGCATATATGAAAATGGTTAATATACATGAACCAATAAGATAGACATCTTGCCATGATTGGATTCTGATTGGTTGTAATGTCATGTGATAACAAGGTCATAGATTGTTTATTTAGTTAATGGACAGACAAAGCATATTGTCAGTTATAATAGAATATCGATCAATATACCCATAGCAAAATATATCAGACTGTCAAAAACAAAGGCAAACATCATATGACTACATATCAATAATGAACACAAATGTACGGGTTAAGTCACCATTTCTGTTTTTATTTACATCATAGATAATGTACACTAATGAATTTAGAACAAGACATATTGGGCGAACAATATTGTTGTTTTCATTTAGATCTTCATCAGGCTTTACTCTAATTTACATAGATTTATATATAAAACAGAATTTAACCAATGACGGTGATTTTGTGGATCAAATAATAATATTAATGATAATAATAATGTGGTGAATGTTTAAAACATCATTAATAACGATGATTATGATGTGATAGAGGATTTCATCATGAGCTGACATCAGTTAGAGAACCACTGGGAGTACTGGGCAACTGTTTCGTCCTAGTTTGGGACTCTTCACCAGTACGCACCCACCTCAGGGGTTCAAACCGAGGACCTTCTGATTACGAGGCTAGCGAGCTCGTAGACCATTCAGTAGCCAGTGGGACCCGATCCAATGGCCACCCCATGAATTCTAACTTCTTCCGATTCATGATATAACGCAACCATTTCTCAATGTCTTCTTCGATGAGTTACTGCCTCATTTTCAACCTGTTGTACCGTACCCTACTGGCCACGGCTTCCCACTAGAACCGCAGGCTAACTGCCTGAATAGGGCCAGTCGCTAGTGAGCATCAGATTAATTGCTGTTTATAGGGATTTTGTTTGATTGGATGGAGGATTTCATCATGAACTGACATCAGTTAGAGAACCACTGGAAAACCACTGGGAGTATTGGACAACTGTTTCGTCCTAGTTTGGAAACAAACTTTTTTTGTTCTACCTTTGTCTCTCCTTTGCTTCGCCTAGGTGAATTCTATTCAAAACCCTCCCACCCTTTCGTATTTTCCATATCTTTCGTACTTTTATGATATTTATTTAAACTCTGATTATCTGTCCACTTCACCTTTGGTATTACGTAACTTTTAACATTTCACCTAATTTGTTTATTTATTGAATTGTCTACATATACACACACATATTACTACCTTTGTTATTCTTATCACCACCTGCATAAACCTTATTATCAATATTTTGTTATCATTAAAATCATCGTTATTAACTATGTTCAAAACATTTACCACATTATTATTATTATTTGATCCACGAAATCACCGTCATTGGTTAAATTCTGTTTTATATATAAATCTATGTAAATTAAAGTAAAGCCTGATGAAGATCTAATTGAAAACAACAATATTGTTCGCCCAATATGTCTTGTACTAATAAATTTAACCTTAACTGACTTCAGTGACTCAGGGATTGACTTGTTACCACTAGGAAATAATAGTCTCGTTGACTTAGAATATGCATGCGGATGATATAGTCCTGCCTCCTAGGTGAAGACACCTGACAAAAATAGGGTAGAGTCTCTTGAACACTTGGGGCTGAGCAACAATCTTGGAGTGTTTGCAATGCGATTCGCACCTGTAAGATGTAACATAATTCTTGCTGCAGGATTGGAGTACATTGACTCTTAGCTTAAAAATAGACAGGTGTGAAGTAGTTGGTGGAGACTTTTGACAACTGCTTCACTTATTTTGAGATCCGCATCAGCTGATGCCAGCGGGTGGTTGATCGCTGGCGAAACATCACCAAATCACGAATACAGAAGGCTCTTTTTGTATATGCCAACAATGTACGCTATCTTAAGCTATCTCTGCATTAGTAGATGGGATATCTGGCTGGCTGTCAACCAAAGGGTGTGTGTACTGCTCAGCAGTCCGCTCCTTCCATCTTTATGGCTGTGAGACCTGGTCATTAAGAGTTGAAGACATGAAAAGCCTGTCTGGCTAGCTATCTTTGATCATACGTGCCTCTGTCCTATCTCCCATGTGAAGTGGTATAAATAGGGTGAGCAATATTGAGGTGAGGAATCGGTCGAGTGGTAGGTAAGTGGAAGGGGAAATCAATCGACGGGGCTGTGAAGTTACACCGATTGAGAGAGAGATGGTTGCGACATGTGTTACGCGTGCATGTCTAGCCATTCATCGCCTTCCTCGACAATGGGTAATGTTACCTGACACAGGATGGATCAGGCTGGTAAATAGCCACTGGTGGTCAAACCAAAACCAATATGGCTTCATCAGTCAATGAAATCCACAACAGTTGGTCTAAGCCACGTAGGAAGGTGTAGACTTCCAGGCTGGGGTCGTCGGAACGGTAAAAATCTATGGTTGGAAACAATTGGTGACATGGCTCAAAATCGTTCTCAGTGGCCAGCGCAGATGCATCCACTCCTTGTGACTTATGATCTCCAATGAAACTGTTTTGTTCTTCGTTATTACTTCTCCTTTGTCTCACACCTCTGCTCACTGTTTCTATTATGCTTTTCTTGTACTTTCTTCTCTTGCTTCGCGTGCTAAACGGAGTGTGGCGACTTGAACTTCCGCACATTTGTGCAAAGTTCTATGTCGAAAACAGACAGACAGACAGACTAAAGGGCTGGAGACAGTTATCGGTGATATGGCTCAAAATCGTTCTCAATGACGACACAGATGCGTCCACTCTTTATGGATTTGTAATATCCAGTAAAATTCTCTTGTTCTTCTATATTGCTATTCTTTTCCCCTCACTCACACTTCTGTTTATTATCTCCCCTTTGATGAGTTTTGCTTTACTGTCTTCTCTTGCTTTGTGTGGTACATGGAGGGGGGAATGTGGCGATTTGAAGTGTTGCACACATCTGTGCAGATTTCTGCGTTGAAACCAGTCAGTCAGTTCAGGATAAAGGAATAATAATAATAACATGGAAAAACGTGAGAACTTAATCGATCTGAGAGATTACAAAAAGTGAGTATATTATGCCACTGGGATGGATTTTCAGCCATATTACAATCAGTCTTAATCTATTATTGGTTCTTCGTATCCTTTGGTCAGATTAGTAACAGTTTTTGTAACGACAGTCAGGGACGGTGAACCTGTGTTTATATCCTTTTCAAGGAGGTGTTGGATGCTGGATAAGTTCAGCATGGCTGTAGACTAATTAAATGGCTCCTTCTTTTCAAAGTTCCAGTCGTAAATTCGAATAGCTCATTAACAGCGTTTCTGACTGCAGTACTCAGTGATCCCAGGTTCAAATCTCAGAGTGGAGATCAGTACCTGTAAGATTGTAGAATATGCCTTGTTAACAGGCGTCAACAAATATGAGATATAGGTCATATAGAGCTTTTTATGGATTGCCTCTAACCACTTAATGTATATTCCCCATATACAAGAAGGGGGACAAGTCTTCCTGTGATAATCAAAGGGGGATTAGCTTGATTAATATGGTATCTAAAGTTTTAGGCTTAATATTCATGCGTAGACTAAGTGGTGCTCGGGAGGAACAAACACGAGAGAGCCAGGCAGGCTTTAGACCAGGAAGAGGGTGTATTGATCATATCTTCACCCTCCGACAGATTCTAGAACATAGGAATTCCTATCGGCGCCCAACAGTCATTATATTTCTTGACCTAAGGGCAGCATTCGACTCTGTCGATAGAGAAGTTCTCTGGAGATGCTTGGCTGTAAAGGGAATTCCGCGAAAACATATTGCACTGATTAAGGCACTCTACTCGTACTCATGCAGCCAGGTGAGGGCTTACGGCGAGTTGTCATCTGAACTGGTGACGACCAGTGGTGTCCGTCAAGGATGCCCATTATCCCCATTTCTATTCAACTTCATCACAGATGTACTAATGGAATTAACCCTAAGTGACTTCAGCGACTCAGGGATTGACTTGATACCAGGGAATAATCTTAGAATATGCAGACGATATAGTCCTTCTAGGCGAGGACGCTGACAAAATGCAGAGATTTCTGAACATCTTGAGCTGCAATCTACGAATGTTTTGTTGGTGATTCTCTCCTTTTGTCAAATGTAAGATGATGTTACAGGACTGGATTACATTGACTCCCAGCTTAGAAATAGGGAGTGTTGAAAACTGCTTCACTTATTTGGAGATTTGTATCAGCCTACTCCAGTGGGTTGATCGCTGACGAAATCTCAACACGTATACAGAAGGCTAGCTTCGCATATGCCAGTTTACGCCGTCTGAGACGTAGACGTCATAGCCGACTGGGTATTGACCAAAGGGCGTGTGTACTGCTCAGCAGTCGGCTCCGTCCTCCCTTATGTCTAAGAGACCTGACCGTTGAGAGTGGGAAGACATGAAAAGGCTGGCTAGCTGTCTTTGGTCATAGGTGTCTGCGTTCTATATCCCGTGTGGAGTGTTATAGTAGGGTAAGCAATACAGAGGTTAGGTGTCGAGTGCTAGGTAAGTGGGAGGGAAAATAGGTGAACGAGGCTGTGAAGCTACATCGACTGAGATGGTTAGGATATTTGTTACGCATGCATGCCTAGTCATCGCCTTCCTCGACGTCGATTGGGAATGTTAGCTTACACAGGATGGATCAGGTTTGAAAAGGGCCAGTGGTGGCCAAACCAAAACATGGCTTTATCGGTCAATGAAATCCGCAACAGTTAGTTTAAGCCACGTAGGAAGGTAAAGACTTCCTGACTGTCTGGTTAGGGTCCTCGGGACAGTAAAAACCAATGAAGGCTGGAGACATTTATCGGTGATATGGCTCGAAATCGTTCTCAATCAGTAACGGCGCAGATGCATCCACTCCTTGTGACTTATGCAATAAAACTATATTGTTCTCCGTTATTACTATTCCTTTTGTCTCATATCCCTGTCTACTGTCTCTATTATGCATTTCTTCTAATTTCTTCTCTTGTTTTGCGTGCTATATGGAGTGTGGCGACTTGAATTGCTGTACATCGGTGCAAAGTTCTGTGTTGAAAACAGACAGACATTATATATATATATATATATTTCACTCACGTTAATTATCTTTTATTGTTTTTCTTATTTTGTCTTGTTGCGGTGGTTTGGCATCCTTTTCTCCTTTATTGTTTCTTCAATTTTCTTTCCCTTTTATTTTTGACAATTAGACAATTTACGTTGGTCGAACGATGCAGTTGGTTCCACTGATGATGAAGATAGTGACTTCGAAGATGTAGATCAGGGTGTTGAACCAGCTGTTTCTGTTGATTCATCATCATGTCAAGAATTCGATTCCATTAACTCCCGTAAACAAAAAGTTCTGACACCGAATGAAATTGATAATTCTAAGTAAGTTAGCATATATTAAAGTGTTGGTTTATAGGGATTTGACTGATTGATTTCAGGATTTCATCAATGAACTGACATTGATTAGAGAGGACCATTGGAAAACTTGCAGGGAGTATCGGACAGTCAGTTGTTTTCTTCTAGTTCGTCCGTTGGATCGGGTCCCAGTGGCTTAATGGTGGATGATGACTAACAGAGGAATCCAGGATGCGTATCTCGTTCTATTCGGTACGCGTCATTTGGACGTACCTGCATTCCCCAGCGAGTCAGTGATGGTATTCTCATCACTGAAGCTTGAACCCAGTGTCCATAGTCTCGAACGCAAAAGTTAGCTGACCAGACCATCGTCAAAACATCAGCATGCACAACCAGCCGAATTCTATTGTTGTGTCGTATTACTACTATTCTATTTCCATCACTCACACTTCTGTTTATTTTCTCTCTTCTAAATTTCTCTTTATTGTCTTCTCTTGCTTTGTGTGGTACACGGAGGGAGCGATGGAGGGAGAGCGGCGACTGGAGGGTGGTGCACACATCTGTGTAAAGTTCTATATGCTGACATCAGTCATTCAGTCAATACTGTTCGCTTATATATGTCTTGTTTTCAATTACTGTCGACTATTTTATTGTTCCCCTCCTCTTACAGTTCATAAACTCTTGCATCCTACCTATCCTTCTTTATTGTTCACCCCTGCTTATTCTTTCCTGGTCTGCTTAAAAAGAACTCTGTCACAATTCATAGAATTCTGAAGACGGTCAGCAGGATGAGTGCTGGTGTCCCAATGGACCACATAGTTAACGTTGTTGTCGATAGGCACTTGACTTCGTGCATTAGATTTTCTAAAGGGATTTTGTCTGACTTGGAGCATCCACTTTACCCTCAGCTTTCACCTTGCATCTCCCCAGGTAGAACAAGAAGTAACTTCAAAAAACTGTATGCTCACACATCTAAGTATAGAAATTCTATGACACCATACTTGGCATATATTTCATGTGAAGAAAATAGTGTCAGGCAACAATTAACTAACCTTTTTTCATCTAGTAAATAAACAATTTCCTCCATCCATCCTTATATACCTTCAAGTTTTACTTTTATTATTTCTATTATATTTATGGTCTTGTTGCTTCTTGGCTTGTTTTACTCTCATAATTGCAAACACCAACTTATCTCCATGACGGCTGTAATCTTTGGTTTTCCCCTCACCATATCATGTAAAGAGAACATTATATTCAATATTTTTAAACATGCTAGGAAACAAGCCGACGGCAATTTTCACTTGTATTATTATTATTACCTTAGCTGTTCTCATTATTATTATTATTATTATTATTATTTCTATTTTATATGCTACATGTTTCTGACATAACCCCTATTGTAAATGTGGAAAATTTTCTGTGTGATTAATTTTATTTATAGTTTGAGGAAATTAGATGCAATATTGTGATTAATGCTGAAAATTCCATTCTGTATCACAAGTATTGTTTTTGGAATAAAGTAAATCATTATTATTATTATAATTATTATCATTATTATTAATAAGAGTTTATCTCATTGATATATTTTTCATTCCAACAATTAATATGTAGACTTACAAGTACAACTGAACAACTTGTGGATAACCACCACCGGCACCAGCAGCACCGCCAGACAACACATTCAAATGATGAATACATTTCAAGCGATAATAATATTATAATCGATGACGATTATACTACAACAGCAGTTATTCCACGTAGAACAATTGAATGTGAACATCGTTTTTGGAAACCTATTGTCTCCGATGACAATGATAATCAGCATAAAGAGTATCTTGAATCAGCGATTTCATGGAATTCGACAGTTGTTATCCCACAATGTGATGCTTCACTTCCGTGTAACGACTCATTGAAGGTGGACATCAGCAGTAGGAGTAGTGGTAGTAGTCCTGTTGAGGATAAGAAACCAGGTATTTTTTATTTATTTATTTACTTATTTGTAGCACCATCATTTTTGATTATGTTTTTATGATGTGTGCCTCAGTAGCAAACTTATCACTCCTGCCCTGTGACACGGCAGCAGGAAGCGCGGTCGTTGTTAATCCGGGCCACAGCCGATCCGGCATGAAATTATGTGATTTTGTATTGATCATGATGTTGGATTGGTTAGTTGCTTTTTGTTTAACCGCTATCCAAACAACCTGCCTGGCATGGTAGAACCTCAAGAGACATAAGTCTCAGCCAGTATAGCTTGATTAGTTCATTGCGGTGTTCAAGCCCGACCACCACGTCAAGGTAGCAGCTTTCGGTCGGGATAATAATAATAATAAGGTGAGCAACATTGAAGTTAGGCGTCGAGTTCTAGGTAAACAGGGGAAATCAATCGACGAAGTCGTGAAGCTACAAAGACTGAGATGGTTAGGACATGTGTTACGTATACCAAGCCATCTCCTCCCTCGACGAGCAGTGTTAGCGGATGTAGGGTCAGGCTGGAAAAAAGCTAGCGGCGGTCAAACAAAAACTTGGCACCAGTCAATGAAATCCACAACAGTTGGTCTAAGCCAGTCACGTAGGAAGGTGTAGACTTCCTGACTGACTTGTTGGGGTCCTCGGGACGGTAAAAATCTATGGTTGGAAACAATTGGTGACATGGCTCAAAATCGTTCTCAGTGGCCAGCGCAGATGCATCCACTCCTTGTGACTTATGATCTCCAATGAAACTGTTTTGTTTTTCTTTATTACTCCCCTTTGTCTCACACCTCTGCTCACTGTTTCTATTATGCTTTTCTTGTACTTTCTTCTCTTGCTTGCTTCGCGTGCTACACGGAATGTGGCGACTTGAACTTCCGCACATTTGTGCAAAGTTCTATGTCGAAAACAGACAGACAGACATGCAGTTACACACAACCACACAATAGGATGTGATAGGCTGACAGTTTTAAAATCTTATGTAACAGGGTATAGGGATAGATTGATAACGGAAGCTTCACTTATTGAATCATGTGGAATAGGAATGATTCAATACCTGTCCACTCGGACATCTGGAAAATTCTACTACCCCGAAGACGACGACAAATAGGAGAAGTCAAAGACAACCATAAAACTCAAGTTTCGAATTCATGTGATTATAACTGATGACATGATTATGACCAGTAATAAATTGTGTTCTCAACTTCGTCATCCAGTGAATAATACTGTTACATTGACTGTGTGATACAACTGATAAACAAAGTTATGTGGAGTTACACTCTACTTCCACAATCCACAAGTTCTATATTCTTATATTATGACCTTCATTATTTTCTGAAATCGGAGTATTTTTTGTTCCTTTTCTCCTCCACCGTCTGATCCATAGTATCGAGTGAAGACAGAGGTTGATGACAGTCTTCATCCAGCCTGTTGAAAAGTGTTTTTGACTTTGGTTTATACTGCAAAATATGATCTTTCTTACCTTTGTCGATATTTGTATCGCTAATTAGCAGCAAGAGCTGGAATTCATGCGACATTGGGTCGGATCCAAGTGTCTGAATCGCCTACGAGCGCTTGATTTTGAACTGTGGTAGGCGCTTGTACTGATGAAGAGTCCTAAATTAGGACGAAACAGCTAGCTGTCCAGTGCTCAATATTGATTTCCCCATTGGCTGTCTAACTGATTTCAGTCAATGCATTATCAAATCTGAAGCCAATCAAATTCCTGTAAATCCTAGCACTTGACAATTATCGATATTTGAGGTATTGGTTTTGTAGGGATTTTGTTTGATTGGATTGGGGATTTCATCGTGAGCTGACATCAGTTAGAGAACCATTGGAAAACCAGCTGGGAGTAGTGGACAGCTGTTTCTTCTTAGTTTGGGACTCTTTATCAGTACGCACCCACCGGGATTCGAATCCGGGGCCTTCTGGTTACAAGACGAGGTCCTGGGCTCGAACCCAGGCTATGGGTGCATGCTGATGAAGAGTCCCGAATTAAGAAGAAACATCTGTTCAGTAATCCCTAATGGTTGTTCGGTGGTTCTCTAACTGATGTCAGCTCATGATGAAATCCTCCATCCAATTATCGATATTTATCAGGGATCTGACGTGTTCATAAGACCCTAAATTCCAATATATATATTTATTGATGAAATAATAATTATTATTATTGTTCACCACTGAACCACTGGGAGGGAATTTGACGGCCAGTCCATGAATTTAAATTCCTGTCCATTGGAGATTAATGATTTCCCAATTCCCGTTAACGCATTTAAAGAATACAACAGATTGAGCTGAAAATATACATTCCTTTTCATTTAGGTGTTCCTTACCATCGGCTGGCTCGAAACTAATATATAGTTTTCTACATCAAAATGTTTTACCAAACAAGTGGTTATTTTACTTAATCGGTTCTAGGTATAGAGGGTGGGTGGGGGTGAAATTAAAAGGTTGAAAGTCATCAAATTTATAATTGTTCCCTTGGGTTCCTAGTGGAACATAGGGCTTCAACTACACGTCTCCACTTGCCAGGCAACAGTTCGTTTATTGAGAAAATCAAGAAATATTTATAGATTTTTATGTACATTATTATTCGTTATTATTAGCAGGGGAACAGCGCCTTCTGATTGGTTGTTTTCCTGCTGGAGGTTATTCTGTTTCTTAGACAGTCCGTTGATATGTCTGCTAATCGTATCCGCCCACGCAAAGTCTCCTGTGATTGGTTGTTGAGTTAGTCTTTGTTCTTGTTTTTTTATCCACATGACGAATATTTGGGACGTAAACATTGACGTTAGTTAGTGTCTACCAATTTTGGCTAGCAGGCAGCTCTCATTACAATATTATTTTATTTATTCATTTATACACTATGGGCACCAATAGAAACACGCCACACAGTTAAACATAGTATGCGTAAAAGAAGCATAATGAACGATTAAGTTACAAGATCATGTAAACAGGCAAGGAGAATTATCAAGATCATTTAAGGGAGTGTTCATCCCTCTCTCTCTCTCTCCGTGTTACTTTTAGATGGATGGGAAGGGAGGAGGAATGAACTTACAACATATTGGTCAGTGATTACTATTCTCTCCGTTATATCTGATAACAAGAATGTGATGCGATATACATCGGATAAACCTTGCGAGAAAGAAATTCAAAATCTCAAGAAATGAACACTGTAGAGCATCTGTTCAATCACCACCGAGAAATCCACTTAGTGAACTATAAAACCTTGAAAAATCCTCAGCCGTAGGTGATAGTCTACACTCTGTGCTATAGGATCAGGCCACAAAATTCATTTTGACAATATTGAAATAATCCAGAAAAAAAATTTCAGAAATCACAAGGAACGCCTAATATCATAAGAAGCACTTCATATTAAATGGAATTCAAATTAGAAGTTAACTGGTAGATGGTGACTAGCAGTGGAATCAATCCGGGTTGACTCGCATTTCGTCCCATTTGGGACTCATCAGCCAGTGAATGTACCTGCATTCCGCAGTGAGTGATGATGGAACACAGGCACATCCAGCTGACGGGTTTCAAATACGACGAAATGCACGTCATCCCAGACATCATCGAAGCATCTGCGCGTACAAACATCCGACGTATCAACACCTTAGACCGGGCACTTCGGTCGAATCAATCGACGGGAAAATTGAAAATCGAATTAAATAGGGACATCCAAATTATCTGGATAGGAATGATGACGGTGTAAAACAGAATTTGACATGATTACAACAGTGGAATTATGCTTCTGTCCATTCCAAGCAAGATACTAAGTCGCATCATCCTGGAGAGAATCAAACAAGCCCTAGATGAAAAACTTCGTCCGGAACATGCCGGATTCAGGAGAAACAAATCATGTATTGGTCAAATCGCCACTCTACGGATCATCATTGAACAAAGCTTGGAATGGCAGTCACCTCTCTATCTCAACTTCATCGACTTTGAAAAGGCCTTCGACAGCGTCGATCGAGAGGTCATTTGGCAACTTCTTCGCTACTACGGGGTCCCATCAACAATTATACATCTCATCCAACAGTTATACGACAATGCTGCATGCCAAGTAATCCACAACGGGAAACTTACGGAGGCCTTCGAAGTGAGGACGGGAGTGAGGCAAGGCTGTCTACTATCACCAATGATCTTCCTGATTGCAATTGATTGGATAATGCGACAGACAACGGCAACCAACGAGGGAACAGGCATAAAATGGACTGACACAAAAGACTTGGAGGATCTGGATTTCGCCGATGATATATGTCTGATTTCCCACAAACTGGGAGATATGCAAGTGAAAAGCAACAAGTTGGCAGAAGAAGCATCAAAGAAAGGACTTCAGGTGAACATAGATAAAACAGAGGTGATCAAGATTCCTAGCCAACATCAACAGCAACAACAACAACAGACAACAATCAGCATTAGTGGGAAGAACCTGAAAGAAACAACCTCCTTCACCTACCTGGGAAGCATCGTCTCAACTACAGGCGGAACTGACGAGGACATCAAAGCCAGAATCGGAAAAGCAAGACAAGCTTTCATTACTCTCAAATCTGTGTGGAGGTCAACAGCACTCAGCATCAAAAATAAGATCCGGATTTTCAACTCCAATGTGAAGTCAGTGCTACTATACGGATCAGAGACTTGGTGAGTCATAAAGAGCATCTCGAACAAACTTCAAACCTTCATTAACAGCTGTCTCCGCTCAATACTCAAGATCAGATGGCCAGAAAAGATCAGCAATAGAGGGATCTCTGGGAGCGAACCAATCAGGAACCGATTGTGCAACAAATAGGCAGGAAGAAATGGAGATGGATTGGCCATACGCTGAGGAAACCATCAAGTGACATCACTAGATAAGCCCTCGAGTGGAACCCGAAAGGGAGGCGGCGAGTTGGTCGTCAGTGCAAGGGTGACTTGGAGGAGGTCATGCGAGGAGGAGATGAAAGCATGTGGACATACCTGGAGCAGGGTGAAAAAGTTGTCAGAAAACCGAAGTCAATGGAGGTGCGCAGCTGAAGCCCTATGTTCCTCTAGGAACTAAAGGATACAATAATAATAATACAACACCCTCTTCCTTTCCCCATGAAACGACGAAATTAACATGTATGTGTTATAAACAATTTCATTATGTAAACACATGCTGCTTTTGTCTTTATTTTTATACACTTATCAAATCCAACAGTCATCTACACATGGTTTTAGCCACTCCGGAGTAGTATGAACTTATTTTCTAAACACGGTTTCAGTGTAAAGCCATGTATTTTCCTGTAATTTTTACAGAACCAATGCTTATTTGAACTGTGTGACTGTCACCCCTTCCCCCACCATCTACCTACATCCACCTTATTTCAATTTTAGATATTGTAGCCAATCATTTGATCTGCTGGGCTCCATTGCTATCTGGATCACTGTGTCAACGACGTGACCGTAATGGTAGATGTCCTGCGCATGGTAAAATTGTTCAACGTGACAGATTGACTGGAAGACCAATCAATATAGAAGACAGGAAATTACTTCAAGAAGAGATGGCATCTATAAGAATGGCAAGACAAAAAGGTGAGTATTTTTGATAATCGATTTTCTTTATAAGTGTAAAACTTTTGTGCACTGTGTTGTGGTGGTAGAGTATAACTCTATTATGCATAAGATTTTATTTTGATAATCTTTTGAAATGAACGAACCAAGAGTGTGTTGGTCAACAAATCTGGCCGAATAAAAGGAGGGGGAGGGGGATGGATTAGACACATTTACTGGAGAGACTGTCCATTTACATCGTGCATCATGCCATCGCTTGAGTGGGAAACGACAAGTTGGGTGGGTGTGTATCCGAGGGTGACATGGAGGAGATTGTATGAGGAGAACATGAAAGCTTATGGACAGTTGAGGAACAGGACATAAAGAAGATGTTCCACTCGGGGGAACGCAAAAGTATTATAATAATATAATGTTGTTAATTATTGAATTGAATTTTTGATTTTCCCGTCGATTGATTGGACCGAAGTGCTCGGTCTCGTGGCCCAAGTGGTCTAGTGGATAACGCTTTGGCGTTTGAAACTATGGGTACTGGGTTCGAGCCTCAGTGGGAACATCATCACTCACTGAGAAATGCAGGTACATTCAGATGACGAGTCCCAAATAGGACGAAATGCGCATCCTGGATTCCACTGCTAGCCACCATCCACCAATTGTATAATAATGTTGTTAAGTTTTACAAGTTCTAGCACTGCCTCCTCCATATCTACCACCGAGGTTAAGACGCAGCCATTTAATTTTGTCATTAGCCCCCACCCCCATCTGGCATACAATAAGTGTGTCTGATTAGCAAGTGTGTAAAAATGCAAATAATTGTTGGATAACACGCACATGCATATAGATAGGTTCATAGAAAGTAAGAGAAGATGTATGTGTGACGATGACAAATTAGCGCATAGTCTTTAAATATCAGACATTTTCTTCACACCGTTGAATATGTCAATATTTATTGTTGCATAAGATAGCAGCTACAAGTCTATAAAAACTGTTATTTTTAGGTTGCTGTTTATTTACTTTACCGATAAGCATATAATTTTAGCAATGATTTGGAGTAGATTGAATTTTAAATTTAATTGAAGATGTTTTACACAACTAAGGATATTAGCCTCCTTCCTGGTGATAGCTTCTATATGACCAAATATAATTGGTTGGAGGATATCACCATGAGCTCAATAGGTCAGAGAAGAATTGGAAAACCAACTGAAAGTACTGGATAGCTGTTTCGGCAGTCTAGTTTAGTGCTCTTCAGCAGTAGGCACCTGATATGAATCCATATATATATATATATATATATATATATGGTGATCTCTCTTTCTGTTTGCTCGCTTAGTCTGTGACCATTTCACTTTGATGAACCTGTCTCCTTAACAATGTATATTCCCCTTATATTATATGTAATATAATATGAGTGTTTGTTGACAGTCCGTTGCTTGGTGACATATATCCATATATGGTGGTTGTTGACATGTCTGCTATATTTTGCTATGTATAGATGGATCGACACTCCATTATAATTAGCCAATCATGTTAAGACTGTCTATTGATTTGTTCACACACTTGTCTGGATGGTCATATATATTTCGCTCACACAATTTGTGTGACTTACTTATTTTGGTGTGATACCACTTATTGCTCCTCCTTGTGTTTGGAAAATAGAAGTATCATCGCAACCTAGTGGTCTTCTGATTTCCGCCTTCTTGCGCCAGGACTATTAGATTCTCGACCAGTACATAGCAATAACTTGGCGACGAGTATATAACAGCACCCGCCGTCAGGGTTTCAACACAAGACCTAGTTGCAAGCCTAGCGAATTTGTAGACTATTGAGCCACTGGGGTCCGATCTAATGGCCCATTGGGTCCTGGTTTCGAACCCTGGCGGTGGGTGCGTATTAATGAAGAGTCTTAAACTAGGCTGACGAAACAGCTGTCCAGTACTCTCAGTTCGGTTTCCAATCCTTCTCCCTTACTGATTTCAGCTCATGATGAAATCCTCCAATCAATCAGACAAAAATATCCCTTACAAAAACCAATACTTCAGAATATCCATTTTTTCTCTTAGAATAATAATTATATCTTTATTCTGGATAGTATGTATGTAATATACAGAATTTTCAGAGGAGTTTATTGGTAATTGTTACTTGAAAAGACTAGATAATTATTGTGTTTACCAAATCGCCAAGTTTTTATTTCACACCATTAATTTCGAATATAGCAAAAATATTCATTCAGATATCTATAAAACACAAAATAATCGAGCTAAGAATATCGTTTTCGATAATTTTCTCCTCTTCTGGCTCTACAATTATATGCTATGTATGTTTATATACATAGAATATTCTAGAATAGTAGTCAATAACAATAGTGGTGTTTTTTAATTCATATCGATTTTTGAAGTAAGATCATAATGGAATTACCACAGTTCATTAAATTAAAATAATTTTTCCTTCACGTTCCCAGTGGAACATAGGGCTCCAAGCTAGTGGCTTGAAGTTTCTGTAGCAGTGTTTAATTTTTACAAGATGGGGTTGCTAGCCTCATACCCAACCTTTCCTCTTTACCAGCATTATTTCTGGCTCAGTGAGGTAAAGGAGTGCGCCGGCCGGGGGTCGAACCCCGGACCATATGCATGGTCGGCGAGCGTGCTAACCGCTATACCACCGACGCACACCACAGTTCATTAGAGATGCTCAAATAATAATAATAATAGAGATGTAGTGGTAAATAGAATATCAACTAAAATTAGGTAAATTCCACAAAAATTGAGGATTATTCAAACCTAGATGGCCAAGGTAAGGACAATGTCTGAACTAGCTTCTATTGGACGCATAAATTAGACGTCTTAACCTGGATACCAGCAGCCATCCTCATCAATATTTAGTATACGAACTCTTAAGGGGAAATTAAGATTTGTTGGTGTGCGGTAAGCTACTCTGAAAGTCACACCTCGTCAACCCCGATCTTGTGTTCTGTATCCACAAGATGAGATAGAATAGCTTCACGAATAGATTTTGTTTGTCCTCTACTTACTTAACCACCGTGCAAGGTGATGTTCGGAAATCCGACATCAGTTTTAGAGAACCACTGAAAAACCTGGGAGTACTGGACAGCTTTTTCATCCTAGCTTGGGACTCTTCATCAGTGCGCACCCACCGGCCTTCTGGTTACAAGGCTAGCTCGTAGACCAGCGAGCCGTACTTTGGCCTTCTAGGTTTGAATGATCCTCAATTTTTGTGGAAATCTGCTTAATTTTTTTTTTTTGATATTGTATTTGCTATTATTATTGTTATTATAATTTAAGCATCTTTAATGAACTGTGGTAATTCCACTGTGATCTTACTTAACGAATCCATATTATTTAAAAAAAACACTAATACTGTGATTGACTAGTATTCTAGAATATTCTATGTATATAAACATGCACATATATAGTTGTAGAGCGATGAGAGGAAATTATCTAAAAGGATATTCTTTACTCGCTCAATTATTTTCTGCATTATTTTTGAGTTTATTCACACAGCGATCACCCCACTGGATATGGAAAGCCATATCTTCAGGTTACGAGGTGAGTCCATTGGCCACTAATGATAAGTCACTTGGATGGAATCCAATGATCCGTGAATTCTAACTGCTGTCAATTCTTTGAGTGTAGTAAGTAGTATGACACAGAAAATGTGTGCCAACAGAATGTTGTTGTTATTCTCACATGTTCCCACAGTTCAATTTAGCATCAACAACTGAATGCTATTTGTTTATGTGGCCAGTCTATTTCTTGTCGTTTAATGTAAAGCGAAATCACACGCTCGTTGATTGACTGGTTAACGAATATAAACTGTAAATGTCTATACAGCGATTTGATTAATCAAAAAAAAATATTTTAGCTGCCGTGTCTTGCCTTCTGCAGTTGCAAAAGTAGATAGTGCTACCACCTATCTACCACCGGCTAATATCATCGGGGAGAGTGAGTTTCTGTCCTCATAACCAACCGACTTGGTGGATAGATCTCAGTGGTCACGACTTCTCAACACAAAACCGCATGCAGTAGTCAGTTAAGTAGGTATTTATTTTATTATTTATTCAATAACACATCTATGCTGTCTTCTATTTTCTGCCATCCACTTCAGCTGAACCCCATAATCTCTTTTTTCCTCCTCTCCAAACGATCTCTTTTCTGCCACCCTCTCACTGACAACAACCCACTCATCGCCTCCCTATTGGGATTTCACTAGAGCAATGGCTTGCACTGTGCACCATGCCATTGAACCACCTCCTCAATGGCGTATATCTTATCTATCTCCATTTTCTCCTAAATATTTGTTAAACAATCGCCTCTTGTCTGTTGGTTTGTCGCCAGACACAGAGTTTCTTGTTACTAAGTCTTCTTTTTTCTGGCCAGCTGGCTGACCATTTAGTCTATAGTGAGTGGCTTGTTGGAAATGATTTTCGTGACATGTCCGTCAAGTTTCCAACCCATATAGAAGAGGTGACTGGCCGACTGATTGACTTCACATTTGTGCTGAACAAAATCCAAATCTTGTTGTTCATGCTGGATGGGGTTTATTAGTGGAGTGCAGAAAATTTCCAAACTCGTTTCAGCCTTTCTGATTCTGGCTGTATGGATTTGACATATTCGTCCGTTTTGGACCACCTGTGGTTGAAACCGTGCTTTGTAGCGTAGCCAAATAAATGAAGATAGTAACCTCTGCCAAATCCCTTCCGGTGATAGTGATTGATTGCTACTGGTTGTTGTTGCTGTTGCTGTTGCGGTTGGTTGGTTGGTTAATTATCTTCATCGCCTCCGTTTTTCACCTCTACGTTCACCTAGTGTCCTGTCTTCGTTTCCTGCCTCTTCAGTCAGTTTGTTTATTAGTAAAGTGTAGGAATGATTAGATTAATTCTGCCTAATTCCGAATATTTCTCTAATTGATACTAATGCATGACCAATGCTCAAATCATCTAAATTCATACTCTTTAAGAATCAACACTTGAAATAATAATAATTTCGTACCTTGTTGTTGTAGATCTCTATAATGGCAAATATAGTCTGTAATTCCACGAGTCATCACCTGCTGAGTCCTACAGTGACTAATCATGAAGCTGGTGATATATATATATATATATATATATATTCTCCACACAATATTCAGCGAAGAGACTCTCTCCAACAACGAATTTATTATCAAGCTGTACAATCGTATATATATGGTTTTATAAAGAAATTTTATCCGGTGAGGGAATTATGTCAAAGGTGTGAATACATGAAATAATAATAGTAGTAGTATGAAATGCAATTAAAATGTTTGTGATTAAAATGACAGTTAAGTGTCAAATAGCAAAACAACTAATGTTACGTATAGAATGATTAATAAGATGTTCAGATATCGGAAGTGAGTTTATAACTATAGGGTTAGTAGGTTAATATAAAATGTTACATAATATGGTGTGTGAAATTTGATAAGATAGAATTAAATATTATAAAAATAAAAAAAATTAAAAAATGAATGATTTTGGGTTTAAAATGACAAGTGGGTCAAGTGGAATAGATTCAGAGTGAGAATAGTAATATTAATAGTAATGATAATAATAATAATCGTAGTAATAAGGGAAAAGTACATAGAATAACTAAATAAACAAAATAAATGAATGTCTATCCCTCTATGGCAGAAGTACGGTTTCTACATACTTCTTTTGTGCACAAAAGATTGGCTTAAAGTCATAAATTGTCAAGGCCACCGCTGTCTTTAGAAGTCTGTAACGAAGAAGAGCAGGAAGTTAGCATGGATTTGTTAGATGACCTTAAAATCATGATCAGGGTTGGTGTGGAGTGACAGAAGTCGATCAGGTGTTCCGGAATAGACCTCTTTTCACACACACACACTTTCTTTCTCCCTTGTAGAATCATGCTGGAATATGTTCTCGTATCCGTTTGGAAAGTGGCATCCTCTGATTACTGCCAGTATACCTTACTCCACAAGAGCAGGTGAACTGATAGATGCACATGGAGGCGGCCAGACGGGGGAGATTATCTTTTACAGAGACGGAGAACAACTTTCGGCTGGTGAAGGTCATTTTTAATTTTGTTGCGAAGATCGTCTTACTGACTGCTTTAGAGAGACGGTTTTCGAGCATATCTTAAGCTTGATCACCTTTGAATTCCAAGTTGATGAATAAGGTTTTCTTTGGAACTGAGTTGTTGACCAGTTTAGACTGCTTATCTTTCGTGTTACTGTCAATAAATCGGTCTGGGTAACCGTTTTCTGCGAGCGTGGCTTTTAAGAAGTCAAGTTCTGATTAAACCCAATCAAAACAACAAATGTTCCTTATCCTAAAGCAGTGTGAATGAATTAGGTTCCTTTTCCTGGAGATAGGCACCGAACTATAAAAATTAGTTAGTTGTCCGTTCCATGTACTTTTCCTGTGGATGGATCTTTTGAGAGATCCGTCATTACGTCTACTGAGGCACACATCCAGAAACAGAATACTTAGTTCGGATTCATTTTTTATGGTGAATTGTAAAGAAGGATGGCAGTTGTTGAAAGCAAGCAAGACATCATCAAGAATTACTTTATTATCGCAGATAACGAAAGTGTCGTCTACGTGTCTTCTATAAATGTTGAAATGACCGATGGTTTGACTAAGTTGAGAATTTTCAAGCTTTGCCATAAAACAATCAGCCAACAAGGGACCCAGTGGTGAACCCATGGCTGTGTCATCTCTTTGTCTAAAAATCTCATTATTGAAGATGAACTGAACATTCAACGTGCATCTCAATAAAAGCTCTTTGACGTGGATTGTCGGTAAATCTATTTCCAAACTATGTGTATCAATATAATCACATAAATAGCAAACAGTTTCCATGAGAGGAACACTGGTAAATAGCGATGTCACATCTAATGAGAACAGGACTTTGTCTGAGACATTAAAATCTTTAATACCACCAATCAATTTAAACGTATCATCAATGGAAAACTTAGATACTTGCCTTCTAAATGATCCCAGTATTTTGGCTAACCATTGAGCGATTCCGTGGTAAGGACTGAGTTCCGAAGAAAACCTTATTCGTGAACTTGGAACTCAAAGGTGATAAAGCTTCAGATAAACTCAAAAACCACCTCTCTAAATCAGTCAGTAACACGTTCTTTGCGAAAAAATTACCAATGACGTTCACTAGCCGTAATTTGTTCTCTATCTCTGTAGTAAAAGATAAGCTCCCCCGTCTGGCCGCCTCCATGTGCATCTATCAGTTCACCTGCTCTTGTAGAGCAAGGTACATTGGCTGTCGCCAAAGAACACCGCTTTTCACACGGATACGAGAACATATTCCAGCAGCATGGTTTTACAATGGGAAAAAGGTGTGTGCGAAGCTCTATTGTAGAACACCTGATCGGCTCCTGTCACTCCACACCAATCCTGACCATGATTTTAAGATCATCTACTGAATCCACCATGCTAACTTGCCGTCTGCGTTTTCTTTGTTACAGACTTCTAAAGACAGCTGAGGCCTTGACAATTCATGACTTTAAGTCGGACAGGTCTTTGTGTACAAAAGAAGTATGTACAATCCCTACTCCTGCCTTGGTCGTAGAGGGATAGACATTTATTTATCTGTGTATTTTGTTTATTTAATTATGCTATGTAACTTTCCCTCATTACTGTGAGCTGTTTCCATTTGTCCCACTTGTCATTCTAAATCAAATTCTTTTTTTTACAATGTTGAATTCTATCTTATCAAATTTCACACATCATATTATGTAACATTTTATATTCGCCTACTAATCCTATAATTATGCACCCTCAATTCCAGCATCTATACATCCTATCAATTATTCTATAGATTACATTAACTGTTTTGCCACTTGACATTTAACTATGATTATATTCAGAAACATTTTAATTACATTTCACACTACTATTATTGCTATTTCATGTATTCACACCTTTGACCTGATCCCCTCACCGGATATAATTTCTTAAATGAGTCCATATATATATATACGACTGTACAGCTTGATAATAAATTCGTTTTACGGGTTGATCACGGATTGATATCAGTTAGAGAACCATTGAAAACCACGGAGTACTGGACAGCTGCTGTTTCATCCTAGTTTTGGGAATCATCAATGGTTCTCTAACTGATATCAATCAGTGATCAACCCGTAAAACATAACTAATCCTTACAAACCAAACTATAGAAATAAATTCGTTGTTGGAGAGAGTCTCTTCGCTGAACATTGTGTGGAGAATATATATATATATGCAAAAATTGTTGTTTCTTTTTTTAAAAAATGTATAAATATCTATCCAGAATTAGATGAGAAAAAGAAGAAAGACTCGAGGAAACACTATCCTGGTCTGATTAATCTATCAAAGAAGGTGAGAACCTCTCAGGAACGTTTAAAAGCTCGTGTAATGAAAAAGTAAGTGTTATACATTTTGTGTTTATTGATTTATCTCATTAGCGTGTTTTTTTCTTTTTAGCGATTAAGTTGTTGTCTTTTTCCTTCTTTAAAGTAGTCGATATAATTATAATTCAATAATTGTGTGTAGGTTTTGATAGGGAACTGGGATTAATTTCACTTTTCTTTTTCTGGTCGTGAATCAATCCCCATATACAAGAAGGGAGACAAGTCTTCCTGTGATAATCACAGAGTTCTAGGTAAACAGGGGAAATCAATCGACAAAGTTGTGAAGTTATAAAGACTGAGATGGTTAGGACATGTGTTACGTATGCCTGGTAATAACCTCCCTCGACGTGCAATGTTAGCGGATTTAAGGTCAGGTTGGAAAAAAGCTAGCGGCGGTCAAACAAAAACTTTGCACCAGTCAATGAAATCCACAACAGTTGGTCTAAGCCACGTAGGAAGGTGTAGACTTCCTGACTGGGGTCCTGGGGATGGTAAATAACTATGGTTGGAAACAATTGGTGATATGGCTCGAAATCGTTCTCAGTGGCCAGCGCAGATGCATCCACTCCTTGTGACTTATGATTTCCAATGAAACTGTTTTGTTCTTCGTTATTACTCCTTTGTCTCACACCTCTGCTCACTGTTTCTATTATGCTTTTCTTGTACTTTCTTCTATTGCTTCGCGTGCTACACGGAATGTAGCGACTTGAACTTCCGCACATTTGTGCAAAGTTCTATGTCGAAAATAGACAGACAGACAGACCAGTTACAGAATTTTGTTTGGACACTAGTCAGTGAATAGTGTAGTGTGTGTGTCTAGTCCTTTGCAATGCGGCCATCTTGATTAAATGGTGTGGCTCGCCACGATGCTGCGCTGTGCATTATTGATATTAGATGGTTGGAAGCAATCAACAGGAAGCCTTGTCTGACCTAGGTCAAATTTCAATCCCCCTATGTGATTTCTGAATGATTTCACTAATGTCGAAAACCATTTCGTAGCCTGATTCAATAGAAGATCCTATTACCGATGATTTCTCAAGCTTTCCTAGTCCACTAACTGGATTTCTCGGTGGTCGAACAGATCACCCAACAGTGTTCATTTCCTCTGAACTTGACTTCCATTTGGCAACGTTTTTCCTATGCGATGTTTATCGTATTATATTTATTTTGTAGATACCGTTAGATTGTGAGGCCTTTGAAATTCAGTCCATCACATGAACACGGCTGTTGTTTTTACGAAATCCAACAACCTATACATAGCTTATTACCTTTACCAACTGACCAACTTGACAACGTAAACATAATACCTCATGCTGAAAAACCGTGATTATTCATTTTTAAAACACAAGATCTCGTAGTTTCTGCGAGACTCCAGATACTGCTTGGATACCCAGACTCAGAGGAATCGGTTGTTGAAGATGAAAAAATTGGCTATCACCAAGGCAAGTATTCAAAGTGTTTGATAACTGCTCCTGTCCAAGCAAAGTATCTGTTATAATTCTACTGGAGGCCAATTGCGAACTCATATAGTTCAGTGGTAATGTCTTTGACCGCAGCACCCGCTGACCCAGGTTCGAATCTTAGAACAGAAACGAGTTCCCTGAAAATTGCAGACACGCTTTGCTGTTTGTCTGTTCTCAACATAGAACTTTGCACTAATGTGCACCAGTTCAAGTCGCCACACTGTCTGTCTGTCTGTTTTCGACATAGAACTTTGCACAAATGTGCGGAAGTTCAAGTCGCCACATTCCGTGTAGCACGCGAAGCAAGAGAAGAAAGTACAAGAAAAGCATAATAGAAACAGTGAGCAGAGGTGTGAGACAAAGGAGTAATAACGAAGAACAAAACAGTTTCATTGGAAATCATAAGTCACAAGGAGTAGATGCATCTGCGCCGGCCATTGAGAACGATTTCGAGCCATATCACCAATTGTTTCCAACCATAGATTTTTACCGTCCCGAGGACCCCAACCAGTCAGGAAGTCTACACTTCCCTACTTGGCTTAAACTAACTGTTGTGGATTTCATTGACTGATGAAGTTATGTTTGGTTTGACCGCCGCTTGCTCTTTTCCAGCCTGATCCTAGGTCAGCTAACATTCCCCGTCGAGGAAGGTGATGGCTAGGCTAGTCATACGTAAAACATGTCCTAAGGATCTCAATCGATGTAATTTTACTGTTTCGTCAATTGATTTCCCCTCTCACTTACCTAGAACTCGACGCCTAACCTCAATATTGCTCACCCTATTATACTACTGCTTAACACGGGAGATAGTGCGCAGGCACCTATGATCAAAGACAGCTAGTCGGCCTTTTCATGTCTTCCACTCTCAATGGCCAGCTCTCGCTCACAGCCATAAAGTAGGATGGAGAGGACTGATGAGCAGTACACACGCCCTTTGGTCGATAGCCGGATATCACGCCTTCCCCAGAGACGGCGTAAACTGACATATTGGAAACTAGCCCTCTGTATCGTGCTGAGATTTCATCAGCGATCAACGCGTTGGCATTGGCTAATGCAACTCCACAAATAAGTGAAGAGGTCAATGTGCTTTACCACTTCACTCACTATTTCTAAACTAAGAGTCGGTGTAGTCGAGTCTTGCCAGTTTCCACTTACCAATCAGCGAGGCGTGTCAGCAACCTTGAAGGTGCACCGTGATGGCGACCCACTTAGCATGGTGTGGTTACATTGCAAACTTGACTGATAGAATTCAGTGTGCACCAAACAAAGGACTAGATACACTTTACCAGTCACTTAATAGTGTCCAGTACAATCCTACAGCAGGTCTGTCGCCCGCCCGAATAATTAGCTCAGTGGTAGCGTGTCTGACTGCACGCATCACCGGTTGGCGCGGGTTCGAATGTCACAAGGGACATGAATTCCTTCAAGTGTCAACAAGCAGAACACTTTAGATCCAAGGCTTCCTACCTATTGCCTTTAGCCATCTAATTAATATCAAGTTACAGCATTATTGAGAACTGTAGAGCACTTTTACTGAACGACAGTTTCTTCCAAGTTCGGGAGTTTCAGCAATGCACACCACTTCATTGACACCAGTGGAGATGGAACCTCAAACCTTCAGCTTACGAGGTCAGCTGTTCATCAACCATTCAGCTATTGTGTACTAAAACGAGTAACTCGTCGTCAATGCCAACCTCTGTTAACCGCCAACCAAGCCTTTCGATGAAGCATACACATAACAGTAACATTGTGAACCCCCACTAACGATTACGATTTCTCACTAAAACGATAGAACACACCTATTCAGTAGCCAATAAATAGGTGGAGATTGGATTTTTTCGATGATTACTTTTGTGGGTATATGAACATCCATAGCTGAAGAGTCTGAAATTAGGACTAACCATTGAATCGCGTTCCAGTGACTGAATGGCATACGAATTCGCCTTGTAAACGGAAGGTCATGGGAATTTTTTGTTTGACTGGTTGGGGGATTTCATTATGAGCTGACATCAATTAGAGAACCATTGGAAAACAAACTGGGAGTACTGGACAGATGTTTTGTCCTAGTTTGGGAATCGTCATCAGTATGCACCCAGTGCTAGGGTCCGAAATCAGGACCCTTTAGTTACAAGGCCAGCGAGCTCGTACACCATTAATCTACTGGTACACTATACAATGGCCGCCAACCCATGAATCTTAACTGCTGTCACCACATAGCTCGACCACTTCGCAATATTTTCTTCAATGAGTTACTGCTTCACCTTCAACCTGCTGCACCCTTCTGGTCAAGGCTTCCTACTAGAACCCAGATAGCTGCCTGAACAGGGCCAGTCGCATGATGAATTTGCAGAAGTTAGAATTCATTGACTGGTAATTGGATGGTGCCCCATTTGCTTAATGATGTACTAGCTCTCTGGCCTTGTAACCGTAATGTTCTGAGTCTGAATCGTTGTTAGCGGGTGCCTACTGATGAAGTCCCAAATTAGGCTGACGAAACAGCTGTGCATTACTCCCAGCTGGTTTTCCAATGGTTCTCTAACTGATGAAATCGTCCAACCAATTTAACTCACTGAGTTATACTCACTATTATGGCTCCGAATCTACCAAATTAAATTATTTTATTTGTTTTTAAATTTTAATTTATTATTCACCCCTATCTTCCTGGATTCTCCGTCATAATATGTAGAAATTCACTTTGTTGTTCTATCTTATATTTTGTCTCCAGTTTATTCTAGTATCCGAGTGAAATCTGAATTCCGTTAATTTGTCCAACTGCTAAAATAATAGTTACTCTTTTAACACTAAATAATTTTCTATAGTTTGGTTTGTAAGAGTTAGTTATATTTTTACGAGTTGATCACGGATTGATATCAATTAGAGAACCATTGAAAACCAGTAAGGGAGTACTGGATAGCTTTCTTGTCAACCTAGTTTCGTAATCATCGGCAGTACGCACCCAGCACCAGGGTTCGAACCCAGGACCTTCGGGTTACAATGCCAGTGAGCTTGTATACCACTCAGCCACTGGGACCCGATTCAATGGGCAGCCCGTGAATTCTAACTTCTACCAATTCGTGATTTAGCGCGACCTCAACCAGTGTCGCCGGTGGGACATCCATCCTTACACTTGATATCTGGATGAACCTTACTGGTCACGACTTCTCATTAAAACTTCATCCTGTCCCAAGTCACTAGCGAGGATCAGATTTATTTTCTATAGTTTGATTTGTAAGGGTTAGTTATGTTTTACGAGTTGATCACGGATTGATATCAGTTAAAATTCTTGAGCCGTTGAACCGGGTTGGGTCCTGGTGGCTGAATGCTATACGAGTTTGCCTTGTAATCAGAAAGTCCTGGGTTCGAATCTCAGTGGGTGCATACTGCCGATGATTCTGAAAACCTAGGATGAAACAGTTGTCCAGTACTCCATGCTGGTTTTTTACAATGGTTCTCTAACTGATATTAATCCGTGATCAACTCGTAAAAGCTCTCAATAATCCGTCTACTTACATCATCTTTGAAATTATGTTGCTTATACTTTCTATTTTAATATAAACTGGAAGTCATTGTGGGAAAAAGTATGTTGAGACACACTGATTTGTAACATATAATTGATTTTATGTTTAGGATGTGCGACGCCAGTTGAATACGGACAGAGAGAATTCGGGTCTACAAATATATATAGGTATTCGTTCTTTCTTTATTCAAATGAAATTCTCCAGTGTTACACGGTTATTCTCTCGAATTACTTGCTGCTTCACTGACATGTTGTAGATGACAAACAAGTTTTACGAGGTAGTAGTCGGTTAGGTGTCTTTTAAATTTTTCCTGTAATCCTAATTTCTTGTTAGATCATAACAGATGTATTAAAAACGATTGACGCAAAAAATAATTTCTCATCTTTTATATATTTACAGATTTCGGAAGCATTGAATAAGTGTGAGGCAAAGAAGTGATATAAACATCTCGAAGAGAAATGACTACTTCTGAAAATCTCTATGATTGTCATCATCATCATCCACTTGGAAAAGTGAAGCCTGTGTCTTGGAAGTTACTGTGCGTGCCTATGTATATATACATAGACTTTTTTATTCTTAGTTATTCAAATGTTCTCAGGGTGTAGTTTTTCTTTCATATACCACATAATAATGTACATATAATTTACTTTCTCTTTGAGCTGTTTATTATTACTAATTATCACTTGGGTTTTGAGTGATATATGGGGCTACGGCAACACATCTCCATTTTGTTCTATCCCCCGCTGTCCTCTTCAGCTGGGTTCACGACTGCCCATAAACTCTCACCTCCATCGATCCGCATGTAACCGTCACACATTGACGATCGACTCGTCGCTTTCCATTGATATTCCACATGAGCACCAGCCTGCGTTGAGTGCGATGGCCTTCTCAATGGTGTATGCCGCCTGATCCATCTCCATTTTTTGTTGAGCAATCAGCTATTGCTTATTGGTTTGTTCTCAGTCAGAGTTTTCTTGTTACTAAATACTTTCTTTCTGGTCAGGTGGCCGGCTATTCAATCTCCACTATAGAGCCAATGAAGTCGGCAGCTGTTGGTGGTAGTTAGTCTGCAGTAGCCTGCCTGTTGGAAATCCTTTTTCTTGAGCCCCACGCAGTGCAAGTTTGTGACTCGTATAGAAACAGTAACTGACTTCACATTTGTGTCAGCGAGCACCAGTTCTCGTCCGATCACTGAAGTTAAGCAAAGTTGGGCCCGGTTATTACTTGCATGTGTGACCGACTGGGAATATCGGATGTTGCAGGCTTTATTGTGTGCGTAGGTGGCACAGCAGTCAAGACTCTCATCGACCATACACATGGTCCGCGGTTCGATCATTTGCGGACGCACATCTGATACCTATGGTTGGTCTACGAAATTTGGGCCACCGATATCACATGCTGAAAATTCCACACCTCTACCCAAAAAATACGGTGTGGAATCAAGCTGTAATCAAAAAGAATGTTTAAAAATCTTGTTCTTTATGCTGAGTTACTGTAGAATATTTCCAAACTTGTTTCAAGGTGATGAAGGCGTATCTTGCTTTTCCGATTCTGGCTGTCTGGTTGGATTTGACATCATCACCATCCATTTCGCCTTGCCTGTCGTTGAAACCATGGTTGCCAGATAGGTGAAAGAAGGTGACCTCAGTCTAATTTCTCCCGTTGACGATGATTGTTGTCGGTTGATTCTCTTCATCACATCCGACCTTCTCTATGTTCATCACTTGGAGTCTTGTCTTAGCTGCCCGACCGATAGCTGCTACCTTGACGTGGTGGTCGCCTAGATTGCATATCGCAATGACACAATAAGCTACACTGGCTAGAACCAACGTTCCTGCAGGTCCTACTATGCCAGGAAGGTTGTTAGGATAGTGATTAGACTGAAAGCAGTTACCAACATAGTGTAAGAATTTTTCTTTTTTTACACTTTGCTGGAGGTCTGAGAGTGAAGTCGTACTGCCGGGGAACAGGGATTTAACAGTATTGAGGTGTTTCTCTCAAATAACCAGCCAGCTAGCTATGCTGTCTCTCCACTCTGGAGGGAGAGGGGGTTAGAAAAGGTCGACGAGCCCAACAATTGTACATCCCGAATCACCCTATGGTGGTCCGTAATCGGCAGTAAGTTTACAATTACGGAACCATTCCAAGAAACCAGTTCATGCAGACCGTGTGTGACCGGCCGACCGACCTCAAGCAGTTGTCCCCTGGGTTCTAAGGCCACACAACACTAACCCTCTCTTTGTTTCAGGTACCCGAAGTATTAATCAACTTCGACGGTGTGGGCAGCCGGGAAGTAACAACTTTCGCTCACCCACTTCCAAAAGCACACAAAGCCTTCCTGAGTATCATTCTCCTCTGTCCACATCATCTTCGTTGTCTGTTTCACCTGCAAGTCTCCTGTCTGTCTGTCTGGATTCAACATAGAACTTGGCACCGAAGTGCACCAGTTCGAGTTGCCACCTTCCAAATAGCACACAGAGGTAGACAAGAAGATGAGTAAAGAGAATCAATACAGTCTGACAAGTATAACAGTGAAACAGAATGGGTAATGGTAGAAAGGAATATGAAAGATTACAGAGACTGAATACATCTCCGCTGGCCAGTGACAACGATTTTGAGCCATGTCACCTATTGTCTCAAGCCATTGATTCCTAGAGTCAGTCCCGAGGCCCCCAACCCGGAAGTCTGCATCTCCCTACCTGACTCAGTTTAACTGTCAAGGATTTCATGGATTGATGAGGCCATGTTTTTGTTTGGCCACCACTTACCCTTTTCCAACCTGAACCTATATCAGCTAGCAAGTCTCCGAGTTACGTCGACATTAAATCTTCCCAGTATCCCACGGCATTATGTATGTATACATACATACATTCACACTGCCCACTGTCCAAATACAATCAAAAGCCAATGAGATAATAATACAAAGATACAATTGTCATTTATATGTATATGTGTATATTCAGGTCTATTAAAATCAAATCATAAATGAGAGCATACGATTGTTTTAAAGTACAGAAGTGTACGCTGCAAAAATTGATTGGTCAGCCAGCGGTCAGTGTATATATAATAATGATGGTTTGTAATAAATTAGTGAAAGACGACGTGGCGTACAACGACGCATAGCACAGAGCAGAAAGGTGTGCGTGCAAAGTATAGGCAGAGTATAACAAATCATTAAATAGTCTATCCTCGACGTCTACAGTATGGAGCGCTTAGTTGTAGTAGCAGTATGCAGAACACCTTCATGAGGTATGAAGAATCTAAAACCGACAAAAAAAAGGGAATAGAGAAAAATTATAAAAATTAAATAATCCTCAGAAAAAGTAATTCTCAATATGTGACAACGGTGTACACCTTCCTTGACTACAATATCTACTTTCGACTCTGTACCTACCTAGATGCCTTGAAATTAAATAAGCTTTCCTTGACACAGACAGAGTCCTGGGCTGTTAACTGGGTGTATTCTCATTTCTACAATAGAATGCAGAATAAGGGTGAATCTTCCTGACTGCCTGACTCACTGAAGCTAACTGGAGTCCCTTAGAGTGCTGTTCCCCCTCCTTCTCTTTTCTGTTTCTTCTTACATGACTTACCTCTTCCGGATGAAATCGACTTCCTCAAATACGCTGACGATATGACTGTCTCCCCGACACTTACATCCCGACCTGACTATCGCAAACTTAATAGCTTTTTATCGGCCATCAATCGATGGTCTAAGCTAAACGGTCTCACGTTAAATCCCTCAAAATGCCAGACTGTTGACTTCTCCTTTAGACATAAACGTGATCCAAAACGACTGGTCGGTACGCACACACACACACACATAAGATGCTTGTATCATACAGGGGACTGTAATACAAACAAGGTCTAACACGAAATACCTTGGTATAGTTCTATCCTCTCACCTTACTTGGTCATACCATATTTTATCGGTCGCCAATAAAATGGTCCGTCTATCTAAGCAACTACATTAAAAAGATAAAACTATCTGGAATCACTTAACCTCTACTTTTGCAATTCGCACTTTACTGCTCCCCACCCTTCTGTCTGTCTGTTTTCGACATAGAACTTTGCCCCGATGTGCAGCAGTTCGAGTCGCCACACTCCATGTAGCACACAAAGCAAAAGAAGAAATGCAAAATAGGGACAGTAGACAGAGATACTAGACAAAAGGAATAGTAATAACGAAGGACAATATAGTTTCACTGGAAATGATAAGTCGCAAGGACCCCAACCAGTCAGGAAGTCTATACCTTCCTACGTGGCTTAAACTGAGTGATGTGGATTCCATTGGCTGGTGAAGCCATGTTTTGGTTTGATCGTCGCTACCTCTTTTCTGACCCTATGTCATCTAACATTGCCCCTCGAGGAAGGCGATGACTAAGCATACACAACACATGTCCTTATTATCAAGGTCGATGTAATTCCACAGCCTCGTCGATTGATGTCCCCTCCCACCCATCTAGCACTCGACCGACGCCTAACCTCAATATTGCTCACCTTAGTCTTTCCTGGTCCTCTGGAAAAGGACTAGTTCATTTTGAGAAGGGGATGAAAGGTTATCAGTAGGGTAGATGGTTTGCAACTTAGTCAGCTTGTTACTACATTGGTTCATGGACACCTGAACGCAAGAGCGAAATGGTCTAAATCTATATTGTTTGAGGATCAACACCCCGTCTATGCTCAAATCTCCTCTCACCTTTTATCTCATCTGGTAGAACTAGAAGTCAGCACAAAAGATAATATGCTCACTCGTACTACCAAGGATAGGAACTCAAAGATCCCCTTCTTAGCCAGTCACACATAGATTCAAGCAGTGAATAATTGTTTTTCTGCTGTCTTTGGAGAGTTTTGTGACTGTGTTTGTGTCTCAAGGAAGTTTCAGACCAAAACGAGTCAGTTTTACTCGCCGTAATCAGACTGGTGTATTATATTCCAATGATGTAATCACAGCAACACTGGCTGGAATGAATGAACCTAGAGGTCCTGCAATCCCAGGAATCTTGTTAGAATAGTTAGCGGTTAGGCCCAAAGCAGTTACCATCATAGTACAAGTTGTCCATCTTAAGTTGTAGGTCTGAGGATGAAGTTGTGCTCCCCGGGGAATATGGATGTAACGGCAACAAAATATTTGCCTCGTGTGAACAACAAACCGGATATGCTGCCTCTTTGCTTTCCGGAGGAGCTACCGGGATTACAAAATGTCGACTCTTACATTATTCAAATTGTAGCGGCCCATTAGTCGGCGATGGTATCATCGTAAGGGCACACAACTCTAAAACCACTTTAAACAGACCGTCCATGAGTGTGTATGACCAGTTGTCACTTGGACTCTGTGGTCACACAACACAAGTATTTCATGTCGAAATCAACACCCATTTTTTGAGGGGCAGAGAATTAATAATAAAACAATAATAATTTTTCCTTCATGTTCCCAGTGGAACATAGGGCTTCAAGTTAGTGGCTTGAAGTTTCTGTAGCAGTGTTTCATTTTTACAGGATGGGGTTGCTAGCCTCATGCCCAACCTTTCCTCTTTACCAGCATTATTTCTGGCTCAGTGAGGTAAAGGAGTGCGCCGGCCGGGGGTCGAACCCCGGATTATATGCATGGTCGGCAAACGTCCTAACCGCTACACCACCGACGCACACTGAGAATTAATAACCACCTCT